AAGTTGAATCGAACTTGACCAAAACAAAAGAGGGGCCTGTAACTATACATTTGTCATGTTTTTAAAAAGAAAGACAACGTACATGTGTAGGAAATTTAAATCTGTCAAAATGTAACTCTAAATAATTTTAATATCATTAAAAGTAGTATAAAACTTAAAATTATACCATAAACAGTAATTGTAAAAAATGTATAAATGATGATAAAAACCGAGATTTATGTCCAGTTGTCTTAAACTTAACTAGTTTAAGTTACTTGGTACTTGGTTGGTTCTTCTCCTAATGACTTCCACAAGGGAGTATAACTAGGAGGCCAGAAACACCGGGGCAAACCCCTTCTCTTATGCAGGCGTCAATTTGAAGCGTGGACCCACCCTCCTCAGAGGTCGCAAAATATCGACGCCGTTTCGACGCCGAAGCCTGAGGTCAATAATTTGTTGTTATAGTGAAGCCGTAACGTTCCTTTTTAATAATTGGGTGAAGCGTTACCTATAAAGTTGATGAAAGGGTGAAGCGTTGACGAGCCTTATTTGTGTTTGGTGATGTGACATCAAATCCACGACATCGGTCGCGCCGAAAGTATGTCGAAGTCGTGGCGTTTCAAACAACTGTAATTGTGATGCAATCTTAAGATGGCCTGTTTTGAAATTCGCGCAAGCCAACTTGGAATTTGCGTGCGCGCAATTTTTGAACTGAAGTTTGCCCACACAAATACACACAATCTAACATCGCGCGCCGCACCACCTTGCAAACTGTATCCTGTGGTGGTTCCACTTGCGCAAACGTTGCCAAGTTTGCGCACGTTTGCTACCGATCTCATTTTGAGTGGATCGAACAAGCTGTGCGCCGCCGCGCCAACGTTGGCGAAAGTTTAATAGCAACGATTGAAACCTGGTTGACTTGGTACTTTTTTAGCAGTGTGGAATTACAAATTTAACCATTGCAGTCATGGTCTAGTTATAAGTAAACATTAATGAAGCTTGATTTTAATAGAGGTGAAGCTTGAACTATGCAGATGGCCAATATGGTGAAACAGTGGTGAAGCGTCAGACCTGGAAAAAACTGAAAAAGTGAAGCTTCACCTATGGAAATAATTCAAAGGGTGAAGCCTGGACTAACACATTTGCTGATAGAGTGAAGTGGTGGTGAAATCCTGACCTTATACATAATTGGCTCAGGTGAAGAAAGGTGATGACGTGAGGAGGGTGGGTTCAGGCTTCAAATTGACGCCTGCATTAGCGATAAGTGGGTTCTTTTACGTGCGTTAGGCCTTATACAACACACGGGACCTCCGGCTTAACGTCCCATCCGAAGGACGAAGCAATAATGGTTAAGTGCCTTGCTTAAGGGCACAAGTGTCCGGGCCCGGGCTCGAACCCACGCCACTGTTGCCTCTGAAACACCAGAGCATGAGTCCGGTGCTCTTAACCGCTAGGCCACAACACTACAAGTTACAAATAACTACTAACTAGTTACAAAGTAGCCTTCAGAATGTTAAGAAATTCAAATAATTCAGCATTTTGTCCACACAATATTCTATATTTTTTATAAACGGAATTGTATAAATAAATTAAATGTGATATTGACTGCAAAATGACAAGGCATAAATGTACTAAGTAAAATGAAAGCGTAAAACATCTACAGATTTTCAATATGGTGAGGAAATACATGCGGTGTAGCCCCACTACTGTGGCCGTCGGTATGCTGCGCTGAACCTCTGAGGTTCAGCGCAGCATACCGACGGCCACACTATAGTGGGGCTACATGCGGTGATGAAATGAACCTTCGATTGCCACATACACACAGCACACGATGACGATTGCTTATGCGACGGTAAAGCGACATGATCGCCGAAAATCGTAAAAACTGAACATAAAATTCTGCCACAAACATTACCTTTGAGGAACCTTTTCACCTCCTCAATGACATGCTCCAGTTCCGGCATAATGATACAACGGCAAACATCAGATAATTCACAAATAAAAGCTGTATTTTCGGAGTTTCATCGCAGATTACAAAGTTACAAACTTCAATTTTTTTTCAGCAGCTACTTCCTCATCGGGGTCCGCCTCATCGTACTCAGTCACGTCGTCTGCATAAAAATGTAAAAATGACGCGCAAGGGTTTTTTTACTTCCGGGTGGAAAACGAAAACGTAAAGGGCGCCATCAACGTTGAAAAAACACGTGTTGTTTGGGTAGCAGCAGCAGCATAGCAGACGACGCTAAGTTTTTCTCCCGAATAATTTTGGTAATTATGAACGAAAAACAATGAATGCAGTATACGGCCACTAAGATATTGATATTGATGGTATTGTTTACATGAATTTCCAATGGGATACAAAACGTCTATGGCTCAAAGTTAAACCAATGAAGAGAAACAACAATAAAATTTGTATTAAAAATGAAGGGTTTTTGTTGTAGCTTGTCAACCCATGCATTATTTATGCGGGAGGGAAATCATGAGCTTATCAGTTTTGTACTTTAGACCCCTGCCTTGTGCCTTAGCTTTGTCCAAGTAGTAAGTTGCAATGATGTACTAGCACAGTTCCACTGTAAGTGTAAATAATACATACATACATGTAGTTGTATTAAAAACTGTTGTTATTTTTATTTTTATCACCCAATCAGTTTTGTTTTGTCGTTTGAAAAAAATATAATATAGGTCTATTGAGTATTGTTGTAGCAATATATCTTATGTTAGATTAAGTTGACCTAAAGTTAAAAACGGTGAATGGTGCGCAGTGACAATAATCCAGTTATTTTTATGGTCCTTTTACGTTCTACCACCAGTTTATGCACTTCAAAGTCACACACACAAAATGACACAGCAAATTTAACATAGCAAATTTAGGCCAAATAAAAAAAGACATGTTTTGCGTCCTGCCTTTTTGAAAAAAAGGAAGTGGAAGGCCCTTTTTTTTTCTCTCCAAAAGGCAGCCCCTCTTGGGCTATTTTTCAAGAGATGGCAGCCATTTTTTTTTAAATGGCCGCCATTGGACTCAGAAAATGACATACCAGCTTTATATGGGCTAGATGCAACAGACAAAGAGGCCAAAATGTCACTGTTTAAAATTTATCATTTTTTCTGTTAAAAACAAGAAAGGAGGTGGCCTTCAAAAAGTAAGCGGGCGAGGACGCTAAACATGTTTTTTTTTTCATTTGGCCTCATTAATAATTGGACGTGTCAAAATGAAACTGTTATTGTTGGCGCTATGATATTTGCTTTGCTAATGTTTTTAGTTTTGTAATAATTGCGTCAACCTTAGAAAGTGTTGTCATATTTACCTTATTTTCTCCTCGATTTATTCTCCTCGATTTATTCACCTCCAGAAGATCAGCTGAGAGTACGCACTAATTACAATGCCTCGGAAAAGGGCTGCAGCTCCAGACCAAACTGCTAAACCAAAAAAAGTTCCTAAAAACAAGCAACAAGAAGGAGCAGATGAGCCGAGTGATGCAAATCTGAAACAAGATGCCGTCAACGCGACAGGTGATGCAGCAGCAGCAGTGGCAAGTGATGTAGCAACTGCAAGCGCTGCAGCAGGCAACAGCACAGGCACATCAGCAGCAGCAGTGCCAACATCATCATCAGGCGGCATCGCCGACCGCTTCTTGTCGGAACTGGTGGCGCCGTTCAACAGGGACGTGGCGGGCATGAAGTTCGGAAAGCCTGTGGAGTACGTGTACAATCCCCTGGAGTACGCTAGTGAGCCCCACGAGGACTTCATAAGGAAATACTGCAACTCGACGAAGGAGGTCTTGTTCCTTGGGATGAACCCTGGCCCGTTTGGCATGGCGCAGAATGGGGTGATTGTTTTTCTTATCTGTAACTATTATTTACCTCGTCTGAAACTTGGCTGTCAAATCTTTCTATTGAGAGTACAAAACCTACTCAGTAAACCCTTTAGTGACTGTGGCAGGTGCTAATGGGTTAAAGGAATGGACTGGGACATGAAAGAACCAGTTCAACACTTTTCTGTGTCCAAAGAAATATCTGGTACATGTACTTGGTCTATATTTCCATACATTTTCTCCATAGTCATTGAATGGTTGATCCTTTTAGAAGACGGGAATATAGCACAGACAGCCTATTGCTAAGCCAAGGCTAAGCTTTAGTTTGGGTAAATGGCATAAGGTTTTGAAACTCATTTGTTCCCTTTATTTCAAGGTTCCTTTCGGAGAGAGGGATTCTGTCAACGACTTCCTTGGCATCAAGGGAAACGTGGGCAAGCCTCCCAAGGAGCACCCCAAGAGACAGATAGTGGGCCTGAGCTGCGACCGCAAAGAAGTCAGCGGCAGCCGCTTCTGGGGTCTCTGGAAGTCCCTCTGCAAGACCCCTGAGGCCTTCTTCCGTCACGCCTTCGTCTACAACCACTGCAGTCTGGTCTTTATGTCCGAGACGGGGAAAAACATCACGCCGCCGGGCATGCTGGTCGGAGCGCGTAAGCAGATCGTGGAGCTCTGCGACACGTTTATCTGCAAGATGATCCAGCTCCTCAAAGTCGAGGTGGTGGTGGGCATCGGGAAGTTTGCCGAAGAGAGAGCCAAAAAGGCTTTAGCTGCAGGGGGAGTGGAAGGGGTACGGGTGGTGACCATCATGCACCCATCTCCCATCAACCCTGCTGCCAATAAAGGGTGGGATGAAGCCGTCATCAAACAACTCACCAAGTTGGATCTACTGAAATACTTTAAAAAATAATGCACCTTCTCAGGGCAAAGTTCAAGGTCCACTAGATTTGTCGTGAGGTCACACAAAATGGTCCAAGGTGGACAGTGTTGGACATTCAACTGAATCAGAAATATAGATGCCATTCCAAAATTTGAAAGCATTGAAACTATTAGGGGTAAAATTGATCTTTGAATTTTGGGCAACGGCCAGTCATTTAAAAAATTAAACTCTGTTATTTTTAAAGATTTTTTTATGACATTTTTACCCTTGTAGAATTTAATATAGTGTTATTTACAATAAAACAACTGTATGAAATAACAGAAACATACATGTAGTTGCTTTTGTGTTTTAATTTTGTGGCATTGTTGATACCGAAGTAACAGTATATTTTCTCTGTAGTTTCAAGTTGCAGACAAAAAGTTCACTTCTTAAATGACTTTATACAATTGTGCATATGTACAAATATCAGTTGGACGGAAATGGAATGTTGAATGTTACATTTCTATATTGGCAATATGAAAGCAATTTTTTGCCCAAATACCATTTGCTATACATGCTTCAGATAGCAACACTCAATCCAATATATATATTGCACTCAAGCCGTTTCAAAAAAATGAATAAAATACAAGACGAACAGAGTTTAAATGTAAACTACTTTCACACACACAATTATACGTTGATGCTTATCTCTCAAGAAATCAACCTTGGCAGTAAACATGCGTTAAAGCATATAAGATCATTTGCATTTATCCCAAAATAACCTACCGAATTATCAAAAAGCTAACTCCGATTAAAGATCGTACTGGTAAACACCCTGTGAAATAATTTCGCCTGGCTTGCTGGCATTCAAAAGAAATCAAGACATGTAGGGGTTTTTTAGTGATCAGTCACTTGACTGATTTTGGAAATAAAGAGTGCTCTTGACGAGATCGTGCAAACAAGTTTGTGCATGGTTTTCCACAGTTTCTCCAAAAAGTGTAATGTCCACTGATGTTACACTTTTTGAAACTTCCACAGGTTACGTTTTGAACAATCCTCTGGATTTTAAGTGATGTTATTATTGGAAACGAACAACATGCATGAAAAGCAAATGATCCTATATGCCTTTAATGTTAAACCTTCTACAAGGCATTAACGCTCAGTTGTATTTCAGTACTCCCTGATGTTGAATTTAGGTTTCATCAAGGCACCTGGCTGAAGGCAGTAGGTGGAACAAACAGAATTGGAGCCTAGAATGGAGTCCATAAAATTTGTCCCCAGAATTTGTTTGTTTACTCGTTGTCATCATAAGATGTTGGAGTCATAGTCCTGCTCAGCTTCTTCGTCGGTTCTCTCTCCGGCGTTCAGTTTCTTCCACCATGGCTGACGCAGCATCAACATCTGCTCCTTGTGATTGGCCAAAGCTTTGGCGGCGATCGGGGCCGAGTGACTGGTGAACTTGTGCATGTCGCGATCCGTCAGGTCACACAGCTTGGGAGCATCTAGGAAGATCAGATGTGAACAAGTTGACACTTTTTTCTGATAGCTATTACAGTAGTAAAAGGCTTTATGGGTTCTGGCATTAACAGATGTTAACCAGGCTTTATGAAAACGAAATTTCCCGAGTTTTTCCCGATATTTCCCTGAGAAATTTCCAAAATTCACTGACAAATATTTTCACTTTAACAAATCTAAGAGGTGGTTAGCGGTACATGTAGCAAAACCAATTGTTATTGTCCGGAAAGCTGTGTGTAATATTCACAATGCTTAAACACTAAAAGCCGACTACAGGCAGTCAGTCAGTCAATGGACACGACTTGGACACATGGCACAAGACGCACATACGCCAAACTGGCGAAAACCTTTTCCTTCTGGGTCACTGTCACATTCCCTGAGTTTTCCCTGATTTTTGGTGTTTTTCCCCAAATTCCCTGAGTTTTCCCTGACTGGAAAAATGGAAACTCATTTTCAAGGTTTTCCCTGATTTCCAGAATGACTGGGAACCCTGGTTAGTGTGTGACCACTCACAAGAACTGGACACATCCATCCACTGACCGCTTCCAGCAAGTATGGCGCAAAGTTGTCAACCCCCTCCCCCCATTCAAATTTATCTTGCCACACCCTTGCTTCTTCCACCACTTCTTACCGCTGAGCAGATCAGCATCAGTCTCCAGCGATGCTAGGAGTGCCTCCCTCCTCTGGTAGTTCTTACGGTGAGCCATGCGGACGCTGAGGTAGCGTCCCAACATCTCCTGGGCCTCGTCGTGTAGCTCCTGCTGCAGCTGTCGGCTCAGCTGCTTGGGCTGATGACAGGGACCAAGAAAAAAAGTGAATGATCGTTTCATTTGAGAGGGCATGGGCTCCGTGCACAAATACCCCCTCAACGGTCAGGAAGGAAGAGTTGGGAGAGACTACTGAGAGAAACATTCAAATGCATTGCCGACGACGCCCGACGCTCACTCAAAGACGCTATGAGTTTGTGCACATTCAGAAAAAAAATATTAGCCGTGCATATGCAGCGCCTTAAGCACACAAACCATTATGCGCATGCAACGAGTCCCGTCCACTGGGCCCTCGAAAGTGGTCAAAAAGCGCCCTCTCTTGTTCACGCATGGAGGCCATAATGATCAGACAATGAAGTTATATATTCATCAAGAAATTTCTGAAATTTCTGAACAGTTTTCAACCAATGAAATTTCACAGCATAACAAAATTATTTGATGTTCTTACCGGGTGTGCCTCTCTATGTTGATCAATAGTTCTCTGCAGGTCAACTCTCCTCTCGTCCGTCAGGCCAGGGGGAGGCCGGAATAACAACGGTTCCCTTTTCTTCTCTTCCAGTCTCTTCAGGAATCTACGAACCTAACCCCACAAAACAGAACAGGTAGAATCACGAGCATCCAAAGATAAACAAAATTATTGATTCATTAAAAACAGTATTAAATTAGACATAAGGGATGTGGTCGAGTCCATCACAAGTCCAGTCACAACTAAACCACAAGTCCTCTCAGGAGGAACAGTGGATGAACAATAACAAGGGAATGCCATTGTCAAAGCTCATTTGAATAGCTTGTGATTCAAATTGGAACTGGAGGACTTGACTAGACTACATTTCAGTCAGACAAAATGGGCATATTCAAAACCCCGTTCTCAAGTGACCCGTGAATCAGGTTGCCCAATTCAAATACCCAAGTGCATGAGGAGTGGAGTTGGGCGAAAACTCAAGATGGCAGCAGCCATATTAAAATGCAAAATGAAAAACCTCTCCATTTGTAGTCTGTACACAAAACATGACCATTTACCAAATTGATTTCAAGTCTGACCAAGCGCACGAATGGCAACTTACAACTCTCTGAATGGTGATGGCTGCCCTGACTTGCTTGGCCGTGGCCTGACGTAGACCCAGTTTACGTCTCTCAATGATCCCCCTCCAGCGAGCTTGTAACTTGACGGCTGCTGCAATCTGAGACATCTGCAAATACGCATCCACTTTCCCTGCAAAGGAAGGAGTATCAAATTTAAGTGGCAACTTGATTTGGGAATTAGACTGTCAATTAAAAAAAAAAGGACTGAAAAGTGGATGAAAGGTCTGAAAGATGCATTTCTTTCTTATACTGATAATGTTTTCTGTCAGATTCAAAAGGTCTGATTTCAGAGAAAAGTCTACAAAATCTCATGCCTGGTGATTACAATTGGGGCCCCATTTCTTTGCCATGATAGTACCACAATTGCAACTGTCAAAGGTGCAGTGTCTTAGAAGGCACTCTTTCAGGAACACAGATGATGAGCTTACAAGACAGACAGCTAGTCATGAAAACTATTACACTGGTTAATCACAGATTATACCGTGTTACTCAAATTCTATTTCTTTAGATAAACTGTATACTGATCGAGATTCCATGAGTAACAAGAATCTTTCTTTTTGTCAGATAAAATGTGAAAGATGGTGATGTGACAATAGCAAGGTGGATAAACTTTTAGCAGGGTAGAACAACTTTATCTGGATTGAAATTTGTTTACCAAGGTTACTTGCACTCACACAGTCCCTCATGGCGAACTCTTGGCAGCGTTCCCACAAAAGAATCTTAAACTGAAATTCCATGACTTTTACATGACTTTTCCAGGACGAAATTAAGGCTTTCCATGACCAATTCCTATGCTGTTTGACATCTATGATCTTGGAAGCATATTTACAATAAACTGGCCAGTCATCACACTGAAAATAAAGGTCTACACAGTGTGCATTACCATCAACAATATGGACTCCATCCCCCCCCCCCAGCCATCCATTCCTTCCATTTTTTCATGTTAAACTTAAATGTCACAAAACACATATAATATGTCCTGTCACTGTCTTCTTAATCCTAGCATTTTGTGGAACTACACAGCTCTGAACACAACAACAACTACTGTACATGTATAGAAACAAAATAATGCAACTAGAACGCAGAAAGCCAAATAGCCAAATATTATGCATCACTATGTAACAAGTACACAACTACATTGTACCTCCTCACTCGGACACAAAGAGAGGGTTAACAGGGACTCCAATGCATTATTGCCATACACCTTGCACTCACGTAAAGACGATACAGATTTATGCACATTGAGAATAATTTAATAGTTCTATATACTTCCCGCAACATGCCTGCAAACTAGTGTGTACATGCAACGTGTCCCTCCCACACAGCTCTCACAGGCATTCACCAAGCACTATCCACTATCTACTATGCACAGAGCCCATATCCCACATACCTGGTGCCATAGCAGTGATCATATCCAGCTGTTTCTGTCTGGTCTGTCGGATAGCTTGCCTCCTCGACACCAGCAGCTGATGCTGCAGCTCTCTCCTTTCTCGTTCCTTCTCGGCATGCAAGTCACGCTGTACTTGCTTCTCTCTGGAGATAGGAATTGCAATGAATTTAAATGTGTTGTGTATAAGCAGTGGGGACAACAACAATCTAATGTTTTGGGGAACAATCCAGGCAATGTAGAGTCAACTCTCGTTAATACAAATACTGTTAATACAAATTCGGGTTGTAGCAAACATAAAGCCTTGGTCCTGACTGTGCATTTATGTGTACAATTAATGGGACCGTCACTCCACTTAATACACAATTCTTATATAGCAAACATATCGGCTAGGTCCGGCTGAGTTTGTATTAACGAGAGTCATTCTATATTGGGTCCTATTTTTTCGCTGTCCCTGTTACATGTGACATCTATGATGCTATGATTCTTCCTGTTTGGTCATGCAGTGTAACATTTGTTTTTACCTGAAGCTCTTCTGTAGTCTGGTGAATGCTTTGTTGGCTTTCTTCAATTGCCTTCGAGTCTGGAATCCTTTCCATACTGCCTGGATGGTCTTGGCTGCTCGATGTAGTCTCTGCATTGTACAAGGTAAAGACACGTACCATGAATACTCTACAGGGTTAATACAGTGTACATTTTGTAGAGTTTCTGGTACAAATCTGGTACACTGACTTGCTCAGAATGCTTGGCACATTTTAACTTTGAATTCTCCAGACCAAAGACACTGTTGCCAATCACATGATTCGGGGCAAGCTCTTGCATAGTTACGTAAGAGACACTCAGCACCAATACATTGTTTACAATGGGTGAGAATGGCACAAAGACACCAGAGCATGCCGGAGCTGGGGGTTGCTAGCATAAGGCTTGCCCCGAATCATGTGATATAGTAATAGTCTCTTTGGTCGGGAGAATGCAAAGTTAAAACCTGCAAAGCATTGTATTAAGTCAGCGGTCCAGATTACTCGCAAATGGCTTATTGAGGCGCTTTACATTGCTATTAGTGCATGGGCATAACTTAAACAAATCAACCACAAGTCGACCAGGGGGTCCTCGATTGACCTCGTTCCTGTCCGTAGGCCCTACCGAAGTAGAATGTATTGGCATTTGACCAATGACCTCACCTGCATCTCTGCCTGCTGGGTTGACCCTGCATCCAGTAATCCCAGAAGCTTCTTCAAGTCTCGGCCAAAGCCCTTACCAGTCCACCGGCTCAAAAGTGGCCTCAGACCTCTGTGAGATGCAAGTGCAATGGAATGCTTAATGAACCACAGACTCAAATACATATCACACAAACACTGTTTTAAAGGCATATAGGATCATTTGCATCTATCCCCAAAGTAACCTAGTAAATTATTTTTTTTAAATTGTTTCGGTTTAAAGATGGTACTGGTACTCAACAACCTGTGAAGTTAGTCCGTTTGGCTTGCTGTCATTTAGAAGAATTCAAAACATGTAGGTGATTTCCAACAATCAGTCAATTGACCGATTTTTTGGAAATAAAGAGTGTTACAGACAAAATCATGTTTTGTGATCAAAAGGTTGTGCATGGTTTTTCACTGTTTTCTTGAAAAGTGTAGTATCCACTGAGCTGAAGCTTGAACAGGTAAGCTTTTAAACCTTCTTCTTTGGATTTTGAGTGGTGTTACTATTGGAAACGAACAAAATGCATAAAAAGCAAATGATCATATATGCCTTTTAGGCAAGTAATTGGGCCCTAATATTTTTGCAGGAAATCTGAGGTACACAAGAAAAATATACGTCCCCCATACGGTATCCGTAATTTAAAAAAAAGTCTGAAATCCTGTAATTGCAGGACCTATATAACCCCGCTATTCGTCTTACTTGTATCTTGTGTAGAGCAGTCTGATGAGCGGTTGGTGGACATCGGCAATGTTGACCAGGGCCCTGGTAGCTGCCGCACCCACCTCCGCATCATTAAATGCAGACAGCTTGTAGATGACCTCATCCAGTAGACTGTGGACCACCTTCTCATCTAGTGTCTGTAGGACCATTCTGGGAGAAGAGAAACAAGACAATAAGCAAAATAACATCCACGTTGGACCTGTATTAAACCCCGACTGAAAAAAAGAAGAATTTCCCAGACACTGGAAAGTGCCTGAAGTGCCACAGAAAATGAACAGTGTCATCCTGACAAACTAATTTCACAAATCTTATTTCTGATCTTGATGTGTTTGAAAATCAGTCTTAAGCTAATAAGTTTAACTTAAGAAAAGGTAAACTGGTTTTCTATTAAAGGACGTGAAATGTGAAATGTACCATTTCACACTGTAATGTAGTGTACGCTGTAGTGCATTACACCACATACAAATTCATCTTAAGTCCCCTTTCCAAAAAGAAAAATCCACCAGCCCTTAACTTTATCCATAGCTGGCATGAGAACTATCGGCAGACTTACGGGTTGACTCGGACCGCGTTCTGAAACAATCCAAGAATGACGATGGCAGTCTCCTTGTCATCTGTGATCAACATCTGAAGCAGGTAATTGGATCTCAGAACTGAAAAAAATAAGAAGTTGCTTAGTTGTGGATAATTACTTTACAAATTTTGAATTAGTGGCCCAACAATATTTTGGGTAGATCTGTGCATTAAACCAGAACATACAGGGGTTTGGGAATGACCATCCAGGCAGTATGGAAAGGATTCGAGACTCGAAAGCAACTGAAGAAAGCCAACAAAGCATTCACCAGACTACAGAAGAGTTTCACGTAAATAGCAAATGCTACCCAGCATGACCAAACAGGGGGAAAAATGCTAAATGCTAGACGTCATTCCGAGACACAATTCTGGTCACAAGCACAGCACAAGTAAAGTCAGACGTCCATTCACAAGTTACAGGGATGAACAATAACAAAGGAATGTTTTTGTCACGGTTGATTTGAATAGCTTATGATCCGACTTGGAATTGGATGACTTGTGATGGACTTGTGATTTCTTTTGATTCATTACAATTACCTCTACTACAGCACTGCCTAATATATGGCTGCATTCCTACCGTGCATAGTGAGGAAAACATGGCCACTGATGAGCCACTGTAAGGCCTCGATGACCTCCTTGAAGTCTTTGATTAAGTCGTCTTTCAAGGTCAGTGTCTTCTCCGGGATCTTCATGTAGCGGAACTGGATGTTGCGGGCTAAGATGAGAAGACGTTCCGATGCCTCCGGGAGGAAGATGGCATTGTACTCGTAGGTGTCTGTGGGTTCCAGGCCAACTGCACAATGCCTGGAGGGAAAAAATGAGGGTTTTATCAATTTTTGTAAAATCTATCTCAGACTGGCATTCCTGAGGTGCACCATTATCCATACCTGCCAAATTATTCTTAATATCTAAAATATTATGAAAAGTTCAACGCTTGAAACATAGAAGCGACTATGTTGTAAGGTCAACTGATGCAGTGGTTTGGAATAACTTAAATTAAAAATAAATACATAGAGTGGAAATAATGTTGCAACCTGACGCCACTTCAGCAGTATGTACAAAGTCTATGGAGAGTCAAGAAAATTTTGTAGTATTTCCTAACAAAAGTGGAAATGTTTCTCAGTCACAGATTCATGTCTTATCATCATTTTTGCAATGACTGACCTTCATTGAAGAAAAAAAGTAGCATCAGGTTGCAACATTCTTTCCCATAGAGTTGCCCTATCTGAAAATCAAATCTGTTAGGGTCAAATTGGATTGCTGTACTATATTTGGTCATTCTTTGCGAAACTGCAACAACTGCTCATTTAGTTTGAACTTTCTACTTGAAAGTATCCTTTTTTATGTGGTAAACATTTTTTTTTCACTATAACTAGATGTTTTCTCCACAAATATGGACTTCTGGTTCCTGAGATGTGAAGTGCAGGTAAAAAGAAATAAAAAAAGTTTAAAAAATAGTAGAGCATGAAAACTTAAGCGTTTGCATAAAATTTGAGGAAGGTGGTTTGCCCCTTAACAATAGCCTGTGCACAAGTCTGCCAGGTCATTTGTTAAGAGTAGAACCATTCTTGAGAGAAGCCACCCAAACATCTCACTTTCACTTCCAGAAGTCAAAATTCACATCTTGAGTCTTCACAGTAAGAGAGGTCTGCAGCAAATGTCTGGCAGTCAAAAGAACTTGTATAAAACACTCTCACTGTGGACAGGTCTTTATTCCTTTAAAATATGAATGAGAAAAACTCAGTACAGGTACTTTCATTGTCCCTGAAATTACATGACAAACGCCTATCCAAAATAAGGACACTCTGTGCATATTCTCTATTTTTGAGAAGTAAAAGGTTTGAATTCATAGCTCCAACTCACGCTAGGATCTTGGCCAGGGATGCAGCTGTGTTCCATTTTCCCTGGATGAGAGAAAAGTCTTGCCTCAGCGCAAGAAGGACACTCTGCAGAAGGTCAAAGTTCCAAATGTCTTTCTTGACTTTGGAAGCTCTCTGAGAACCAGGGATGACACTGTCCAAAATGTCTGGGGGGGGGGGGTTACAAAGAAAATAATAGAATTTGATCAATATCAATGCTGGGTTTTCACTTGGCGCTACCAAAGCATACACCACATTTGGGGGCAGTGCAATTGTAATTGTTAATGCTCTCTGTAAAAATAGGTTACAAACAGAATAAAAGACTGTGCCCAAAAACATGACAGTCCGTAATAATCCTAACGCCACTAGTAGTAATAAACTACTAAGTCTAAGGCACTGTAAACAGTCTAAGGAGAGTCATGAAAGCATTCGGGCTAAACATGCTCAATTGAAATTGTTTTCTCGGTCCCAATTTCTCTTTGTTATCCCTCTTTTTTGGGGGTATACCTGACCATGTTAACGTTGTGCAAGGTGGAAAAAGTGGAACCAGGATACTGCATTCTACCCCGAACTTTTACAGCAAAATAAAGGAAAAGAATGTTGCATCCTGACGCCACTTCAGCAGTTGTCCTTTACAAAGTCTATGGAGAGTCAAAGAAATTGTCTAAGTATATCCTAACAAACATGAACAAAATTGTACATGTTTCTCAGTCCCAGATTAATGTCTTTTTCGGCACAATTGCAGAATACCCCGCCACTCGATCTATCCACCTCGTAGCCGGCTACGAGGTCACGGTTGGTTGACCTCAATAAACATTCTCAGCGCTACTTGTATGTACTATGCGTCATGCTCCATTGCACTCCCACTTCATAACCGCGTAGCCGCCAACAGGGTAGTTGGTTTGGACTTAGAATTTTTTCAGCAACTCCCATTCCTTTTGTGTTGCTTCGTTCTCAAGCATATTCAAGGGGACTCCCACTCCGTAACCGCGTAGCCGCCAACAGGGTGGTTGGTTTGGACTTAGAATTTTTTCAGCAACTCCCATTCCTTTTGTGTTGCTTCTTTCTCAAATAATGGACCCCCACTCAGTATCCGCGTAGCTGGCATGGACTTGAATTGTTTCTTTTCCAGTGATTCCAACCTCGTAGCCAGAGAATTTAGGGGTGTATTTCCGAGTGGAGGGGTATTCTGCAATTACTCCTTTTTTTCAACAGTTTTGCAATGACTGACCATTATTGAGATGATATTTGAAGAAAAAAGTGGCATCAGGTAGCAACATTCTTTTCATAAATTCCAAATAAAGAATTGGCAAGATTTGGATTTCGAAAAACTGGACTCCGGCCACAGAGCTAGTTTACCTTGGATTGCAAGAAGCAAAATTGGAACATTTTTGTCTGAAGTTTCTGTGACTTGGTGAGCAAGATCCTCCACCCGTCTGTCTTCTAGAGCATCCGTTCCGCTCATTTCTTTAAATGACAATGTAAAAAGAAGAAGATCGGCCCTGCGAGCTGCACGTTCACGTTTAGCCCCACTAGTGTGGCCGTCGGTATGCTGCGCTGAACCTCTCAGCGCAGCATACCGACGGCCACACTTGTACTAGTGGGGCTAGTTCACGTTCTGTGACTTCGACTCGATTATTCGCGGTCAATATTCAATAGCGCCCTTGTTGTGCCCATTCTTGAAAATCACGCATTCTCGAGAATGGGCATGCACATTCTCGAGAATGGGCGCGCATTCTTAAGAATGAGCGCCCATTCTTAAGAACGAGCACGCGTTCTTAAGAATGAGCGCTCATTCTTAAGATTGGGTGGGAATATCACGTGCACAATTTATGAATTTTGCCCAATCTTAACAAACATTGCACGACATAATTATGTTAAATGAATTGTATAGCGGTTAAAAGGGAAACAATTCATATAAAGAGGAAAGAAAATGTGATATGCTTCTGTACTCGTATAACTACGATAATTTGAATCAAATTAAACCTGTTATTATTGCTTTTTTCTGCCCACTATGGGAAGTTTTGTAATAACGGAGGACTGGGAACTAGTCTGGGAAGTGCTTTGTTTAGGCTAGACAAGTTACAAGTCCCTGCATGTATCATATGCGTGCCACGAAAAAAAAACGATGTCCAGAAGCTGCCAAAATTGCTCTTTTGACTAGATAGAATCCAGCTCTGCGACGTTATGGTGGGATGGGATGTGAACAATAAATTGGTGGCAATTTAAATGGGAAATAGCATTAGCATTATGGGATGTCGCAGTATTCATTCTCATTCTTCACATTCTTCATTCTTACGTCCCCGCCGCCCCCCCCCCCCCCCCGCTTTTATTATCCCAAAAATCAGAATTCTTTGCACTAGTATTATTATGTCTCTTATATTTTCCCGGTCCCCCCCCCCCCCCCATATTAATACGCCTTTACTTATCATATCCACTCTACTTTTCAGCGCCTTGCGTTGCAACAGTATAATTATTGAGAATCAGTGAACGAGGATTCAGCTAGACTTGCCAAGCGCAGCCGGTGCTCGGCATCGACAAGACCGTTATCTTGTCGCGCATTCTCGAGAATGTGCGCTCAATCTGGAAGAGTTACTTTTTGCAAGATTGAGCAAGGATCCAGTTGCACATTCTCAAGAATGTGCACGCCCATTCTCGAGAATGCGTGATTTTCAAGAATGGGCACAACACCCTCAATATGCAATAAGGTCACCTCGTAAAAATCACCAAACACATCACGCGAATGAACGGTGAATCGTGAACGGGAATAATATTACGTTTAGGACCAAAAAGCAAGAGCGCAAGTATCGATAATTTCACTGGAACATAATACTGGGATACTAAGGTTACTTTTTAGCTGTTTACTATTTGTTTTAAAGTCATAATTGGTCAAAAAGTTACTCGTTTTATGTAAGAGCATTGGTGGTCATGGGCGCTGCCATTTTGTTTTGCAGTTTCCCCCCCCCCCCCCCCCCCAGTCTGAGTGTCACCCGTTCAGGGGTGTCAAATCTCAGCTTTTTTAAGCTGATTTCAGCTCTTTTTTTTGTTCTGGATTTCAGCTTTTTTCCCCTCACTTGCTATGTACAAAAGTAGGCCTATAGAAGAATTCCAAAGTTCAGCTTTACACCTTTTTCAGCTTTTTTCAGCTATTTAGTTATCAGTGGTTACTCACACCCCTGCCCGTGTTCCACGGAGCCAAGTCTCCTGTATAACGTCATTTCATTCCGAAATCAGGACTAAGATTGTGATTGGCCAATTTTGATGCTGCATTTTCGTAATACAACAACCTGTGGCCAGCTATGCGGGAGCTCGAATTTACGCGCGTATAGAAGGCGCCTGTTGTTTGGTCAGTTTCTCGAGGTCATAATACACAGGCTAGTTGCATAATTAATCACCAAATCTGTGTACGTATAATAGACCATGGTCAGCTTCGCCAGGGCCAGGGTCTACAGACTAACCCCCCCCCCCCACCCCCCCCCCCCCCCGCCCCTTCCCTCTCAATGTTTTGACTGGTTTATGGATGGTGTTTCACCTCTTGCAATTTACCTGTTGCAAACCATTCAATTATTCATCGATGAAAACAATGCTAGGCCGAGTACTAGTATATTTATCCACAATATATTTCAATGTTTTGTTTTCCAAAATTCAAGGTAGAGATCTACATCTCAGCACAGCAGATCCTCAACTATGGCTTTGGGAAAGAAAGTGGCAGATATTGGCTACAAGACCTTCACAGTCAGCATGTTGGCGCTCACTGGCTACGGAGGATTCCTCTGTGTCAGACGAATCACCAACTTCATAAGATCCAGGAACGCGGCCGCAAACACTGCTATCGAAACGCCGCCAAAAATCGCCGCAGAGGCCAAGCAAGGATGATGTCCTGACAAACTGACTGATGTCCAGAGCCCCAGGAACATGAGTGATACTTTCCCAAGCTTGATCAAAACACTTCTTACACTGCAGACAAAGGATGGGCATGAACTTAGTTGCTGTTGTTTCATCACCTTATTGAAATTCAGTTGTTGAAATTAATTGATGGAGTAAACTCAGTCTGGTGCAATGTTTCAACAAAATAGACTATGCCAGCAGTCTTGGTTCCGGGCCAGACACATTATAGAGCAAGGACCTAGTCTTGCTCTGTGGCCACACTAGGCCAGACATTATGTTATGTGTGCAGGAATGTTTTTCCATACAGCAGGTGGGGAGTCAGGGGATCTTTGCATTTTTAAAGGAGAGTTAAGCTTTGCAGCTTGTGCTATTCGCACTTGTACATTCTGTGTATGTAGTATCACAGCCTGTACAGTTTGACAACATTTTTATGGAATCCTTTCAGTTCCATATTCACGTTACACATGGCCAACCTCAAGATACATAGAACACAATGTACAGATTTTTTAGTATTCATCCAATACATTAGCATCCCAGGTGTTTCACTTAAGGCATGAATGGGGCTTGATTGTCTAGTTGATTGTCTTTGTGTGTGCTGAATCCCATGTAACTTTAGCCAAACATATTTTTGTATGCATGAACAATGTGTAACTTAATCAATTTCATACTCAACTGTGATGCATAAAGAAAAACTTCTTCAAACTTGGTATGAGAAGTTAAAAATCTTGCAGAGATAATAATGGCCTAGAAAGAAAAAAAAGTTAAGCAGTTTACCAGAACCATCCAAAATATCATGCAATATACACTGTATGGACAAATTCTGGCATGCCATCAATTCTATCACGAAGGCCCCTTAATGGGGAAAGCATCGTGCTTATTACTTGGATAATCTGTCACAGGGTGACTGTTTTGCACAATAGCATGCACAGTGGTTTCTCCATTGAAGGGGGCCTTGTGCCTGTATAGTGATCATGTACCTGCATTGATGTATAGATCATTTACACTGAGGTGTGTGCTTTTGTGTAAAACACACCTCAGTGATGGCTGCTGAATGCAATCAGTTTATTGCCTGTGACATGTTTTCAGAGTTTTGCTCAGCACATAACTCGTGCTTAGCGTCTACATGAAAATTGGCACAGCTTAAATCGGTTTGAACTTCCAAGATTTTAAGCTTAGAGAATGTGTAGAGAAACTTCAAAGTTCAAATTAGCACCGAATTGGGATTAAAGTAAATGTCGCTATTGTATAAATGTCATTGGCTTTAAATTCCATTGGGACAATTTCTTTGGCTGTAAATTTGAAATTTCATCTATCATGTGTTTACCCTGTAAAACATGTTTATTCTATGTGGACTACAAAGAATTGTCATATACAATGGTCATATAAGAGCTTTTAGTGATCCAACTTTACAGTGTAAATGAGTACTGTATGGGTGATGTTTTCTACAGTGCCATTGGAAGGCTTTACTGCAAACTTTAGTATGAGATGCAGATCTTGTTGACAAATCACTTGGGAGGTGTTGTTTTTTTAAATTGGTTACAAAAATGGAATCATTGATTTAGTTTGAAATTTGTAATTAAAATCGAATAAACAAGTACACATGAGCTGGAGTTGATTTCTTTCAGTTGTTGTCTTTGACATGCTTTTACAGCAGATCTGGAATACAAATTGCACATTTGCTGGTTTTTCTTTCTTTTCTTTAGCTCTTTGTATGGGGGGGGGCAGTGCTGTATTTTCAATACTAATATAAGTTTTATTTGGGTTTTTTTTATGTCCTGTCACCATTGTCTATCATAACTTGAGAAGCTTTTTGAAGCTACTGGTGTACTGTAAAATACCGACTCGTTCGCGGTATTGCACATACCGTAGTGAACATGATGTAGACTGTTTCCTGGCCCCAGTTTTGAAGTTCAAAGGAAAATGGGGTCAGGGAACCAGACTAAACATGATGAGGAAAGTGCAAGCGTCTAGTCTACGTCGTGCAGGGTTTAAACTTTAATCCAACATGTGTTCCACAGTTTATGTGACACCGATATTTCGCTAAAACCTGCCGCTCTAATCTGCCGAGAGAGGGCGCCAGATAGAAAATGCGGCGATTATCGAAGCAACATGGCTGCGCCCATCTGAACATTATTTTGTGCAGGAAGACGTGCAATATAAAGTGTCAAAATGAATGTTTGCTGTCGCCTTTTGAGTCGCAGTTTGTGGAGGAATGTGGCAGGCACATATAGGTCATATTATGGTGAAAGAATTGCCACGATCGGAACACCACCAGACAAGAATTCGGACCAATACAAGGTGTACTTTTCTTTTCATTATTTTTTTTTCAGATTTATTTGTTTATCATCAGATCATGTTTATCAATCATTCATGTTCATCATTTGATTAAACATATTCAGTTCAATTCAATGGTGTTTGTTTTTTGGCCTTTATGGCCTATATAGTATACATTCTTGTGGGTGAAACTAAATATAGGGCCTATATTAATTACTAGGCATGTGTAACTGACTCATTTTAAATTAAACATTGTTAGTAATGAAATTGTGACAATAAGATTAATGAAGAGTTTATATTACTTTTATTTTAATATTTATTTTAGATGTGTTTATATAGCCATGAACCAGTCCCCCTTTTTATCCGTTTGCAAGCAGCCACACGTATACAAGTAGGCCTACACATTAAATTACCATTCTAACCCGAGCAAACATGTGGCCAATGGATAGGGTGCAAGACTAGGAATCGTGAGGATCGATGCGTCAGGTTCAATTCTCTGTCCATGCACTCATTTTAATTTTTTCCCCAGAAAGTAAGAATTGTGACTTTGTGTTCCTTTATTGTTTTACACTGCCTATGTACATGTGTTTGATTAAAAAAAACAGCCATAGGCCAATTTTTCAAATGCAGTTGACTCTCGTTAATACAATCCCAGTTAATACAAATTCTGGCTATAGCAAACATAAAGCCTTGGTCCTGAGTGTGCATTAATATGTACAGTGAATAGGACTGGCACTCCACTTAATACAAAATTCTGATATAACAAACATTTTGGCTAAAGGTCCCACTGAGTTTGTATTAACAAGAGTCAACTGTATTTATCAGCCTGGTTAACAGGTTAATTTTATACAATCATATAACAAAATAACACGGATGAATAAACAGATCTTGGTAAAATTGACATTTTACTGTTGACTTTATTTGCAACACAGGAAAACTATGTCCGCATGAAAGAGCTAGTTGCTGAGCTGAAATCAAATGTAGCTACAGTCACACAAGGAGGTGGGGACAAGAGCATCCAGCGTCATGTATCCCAGGGGAAGATGCTGGTCAGGGATCGCATCAATAATCTCCTGGATCCAGGGTAAAAATCGATTACAGTTGTAGCTGTTACACCCCAACTATGGCCCTGTCCCAGTTACAGTGTGGTTTGTCTCAAATACAGTTAGGAATTTCCCAACTATTCTTGGGACTGTCCCCAAAATAGTTGGGACCATTGCCATAGTTGGGGTGTAACAATGAAAATGGACTCTACGTGTAGATGGTGCTTTGTGGCAACTTGTGAGAGCTCCTTGTCTTGGACACACTGCGTGAACGCCGTGGTTGAGCCTTGATGGTGCGAAGTACACATGATTAATTTCAATCGGAATGTGCACATATCTACAGTGTCTTCACCTCGGCACGATTAGTGTACAATTAACAGCAATGCATTCACGGGTCCTACCTAATTTCGCTCGTTGTAAACGTTGAAGGGGTAAATGTACCTGTGAATTCACTTGTAGCTACTCACATGAACGTTGACAAAGACATTCCTGTGTTAGTGTTCATTCATTGGTTTTTTTTGTGAAACTGAGTAGTCCTTATAAATTATGTCGAGGTATGACAAAACCCAATTTTTCAATTTTATCTGATTTTCATGTTTTTCAGCTCCCCATTTCTGGAGTTGTCTCAACTGGCTGGCTACGATCTGTATGGTGAAGAGGAAGTGCCTGCCGGGGGAATTATCACGGGTATTGGCAGGGTGTCTGGGTAGGTGTCTGTCATATTATTTTTGACATTTTTTGTGCATTTTTTTTTAATTGTCTTACATGTAGGTGGTTGAAAAATAAGACCTTTGGTGGTTGTGTGCAAGAAGCAAAATCACAGATTTGGAAAATGTAAATATTTTTATACTTATACTTTCTATTAACATTGATCAGTTTTATTTATACAAACAATTAGCTATTTTCATGTTTCAAAGTGCTTGTCATCTTCATCAAGTTGCTTCCTTGGATTTATTGTCTGTTTTCAAATTTGAATTTATTGACAATGAAACAAAACATGAATGCATTTCAAACAGAAAATCTTTCAGTCCTTCATAAACAGGGTCCACAATGAAATTCCTGGTTTAATTTGAAATCTTTAGAAAGATAAATTAGAGGATATGCTTTGGTTCCAGGGTTGACTGTATGATTGTAGCCAATGATGCAACGGTCAAAGCAGGCAGTTACTATCCAATCACAATCAAGAAGCATCTACGAGCACAAGACATCGCCAGAGAAAACAACCTGACCTGTGTGTATTTAGGTAGGTAGCTGTTCTGACTTGCACCGTCAATTCATGGTCCATGACAAGTGAACTTTGGCTACAAGTTAGGGCATTGTGCAGCTATTGCCAATGAAAACGTTATGCTCCAACTATGGCATCGTCCCAACTATAGATGAGACGATCCCAACTATAGTTGGGATCCTTGCCATAGTAAAGGCAAAATAAAAAAAAAACACAGTGGCATATGCCCTTTCAAATCAAGCAAGACTCATTTCTGATTTGAAAATGTAAAAACGAAAGCACAAACCAAGAAAAAAATTAACCAAAAACCCCCAACAATTATGGAAAGTTTGTGCTGAACAGTAAAAATGACACTGAATGGCCTTACTATTTAAGGGACGAAATTACCACGAAGCCTATGTTTTCATCTTTCATACGGGAATGGTGTTTTTTAAATGGTCTTTTCCTTATCCCACAGTGGACTCAGGAGGAGCTAATTTACCCCGGCAGGATGAAGTCTTTCCAGACCGAGACAACTTTGGCCGCATCTTCTACAATCAAGCCGTCATGTCTAGCATGGGCATACCTCAGGTCAGTGACCCTTTGGATAGCCGAGGTCAGTGACCTTTGACCTCAAAATACTGGGTCTATATTCTGCGTACAGTAGTCAAAAATTCCGTTCTTATAATAAGCTTATTTCATGGGTTAGCGAGGAATTTTGGCTTCTGCGAATGCGAACATCCCATAACTGAGGATTGTGTGCTTACAGGGTTAGCACAGTAGAAATATTCTCAGTCGTTTCATATCGCATCGCTGAAACTTGAGATAAACGCGGCCTGATGGGCCACGCTGGCTGGTGACAGACTTTACTTTCAAGAAAATATTGGGTTCTTTTCTTGCCAATGACTTTCCTGTCTCTCGTTATCTGTTAATCTCTGTCTGTTTCACTGGTAACCAGATCGCCGTTGTCATGGGTAGCTGTACCGCTGGAGGTGCGTACGTACCTGCCATGGCTGATCAAAGCATCATTGTCAAGGAGCAGGGAACCATCTTCCTTGCTGGGCCGCCATTGGTAAGACTGGGTTGATTTTCCAGATAGGTCAGTCACGCCCCAACTAAAGGCGAATCCGGGCACGTGATCGCTGTACACGCACAAGGCCCCCTTCAATGGCAAAAGCTCTGTGCAAAGCGACTGCCCCTTGTCCATTATCTGAACAATAGCTAGCACAATGCTTTCACCATTGAAGGGGGCCTTTGTGATAGAAGTGACAGCGTGACGGAATTGGTCTATGACAATGGCTCCAACTATACTTGGGACAGTTTTCCGATGCTATAGTTATGGCATAACAGGTCTATGGGCTCAGTGCACAAGTACCGTACCCCTTTAACGGCCAGAAAAGGAGAGTTGGGACAGACATAGACTGGTTCCCGGTCCATCCACTGCGTATTTCGAATTATCTAAAGTTATTGGAGTCGGGAATTAGTCTGGGAGACCTTCGCAGGTTAAATTTGAATGTATTCACGCGTCGACAATGCCTGACGCTCACGCGATATATATGGCTATATAGCTTTGGCACATTCAGGAAGTCGTGCATACTTCGCATGCGAACCAGTACAGTACAGTACGCACACGCTGTGTGTCCCATCCACGGGCCTCTCAAAAGTGGTAAAAAAGTGCCCTCGTTTGTTGGCGCATGGAGCCCTTAGTGTAATGCAGAGTTGTAGTCAGAAATTGGAAGTCAAGTCACAAGCTATTTTAAATAAACTGTGGCAAATGCACAGTGGTCATCCCGTGTTTCTTGTGGCCAGACTTACGATTGATTTGTGATTGGACAAAGCAAGATTGTAATCCATGTAATCCATTGTACTTGTTTGAGTGTTTTGCAAGATGTGCTTTGATTCTGATGGGAATGATTCTGTTACCACAGGTACGGGCAGCTACTGGTGAGGTGGTGTCTCCCGAAGAATTGGGCGGAGCAGACCTCCATTGCAGGTAGGGGGCTCCTTATTTGTTTTCTTTTTCCAAACTTGACACGAGGCTGTTCTGGAGCAATGAAATAACAGTATCCAAGACATAATTTCAATTCTTGCCATCGTTCCCGAGACAAAGGCACCTTAGAATAGGTTGAAAATTGTACTAATGTCGTTTTTTATCAGTCATCTTCGTATCTCATGCTATTTAGTATTTTTGTTCTCTCCCTTAGTTTTTAAGAAAACCCTTTAGAAGATGATTTTTATCAACATTTTATGATGGTACATGTTTCTCTCAGGACGTCGGGCGTGACAGACCACTTTGCAGAAGACGACAGTCATGCGCTGTACCTCGCCAGGAGAACAGTGGCCAACCTTAACCGGAAGAAAACTACAAATGTAAGCAAGACACACTAATCATCCTTGTCTTTGACTCTCCAACACCCTTAACCCTCCTAGTGGGAAGTCAGTATTCAGAGCTGTATGTAAAACCCTTTGCGAACCTGCATTAAATTAAATGTTTCACTCAGAGACTCACACAAAAAAAACAGCACAGTGGAGAGCAGTAAAGCGTTAACGAATCTGCCTACTTGCCCTGAGCTTAACCACACAAAAGAATTGTGACGGAATTTGAAGTGTTATCCATGCTCCACAGAAGACTACCTCAAAGGAATTTGAAGTGTGGGTGCTGAACTGTATGGGCAGATGTGGTTTTGCAAAACTTGAAGGGTTGTGCAGTGCAGAAGACTAGCAGGGTTAAAGTTTTGCGTCTTCACTTTTGCCCATAGAACTGATCACATGGCAAGACCAAATGTTCTCTGTGTTGAGTTTTCACCTTTCAAAACCCTTTGCAGTATTGTTCGGTAAACTCAGGGCAAGCAGTTGAAATCACAGCCATGCTTTACTGCATTCTGTGTGCATGTGCTCTTTTTGACCTTTCAGAGTGCTAAAATGAAGAATTTAATAATCAAATATATCTAAAACTATGCAGAATATATAACAGGCAAGCAACTTTTCCTTGGATTAGCTGATTTCCTTGTTTTCACTTCACACATATTCCATTTAAAAAAAACACTGTATAAAGTCATGTAAAGCTTGGAATTTCCTTTTTTCTACTTCCCAATTGCAGGCCTGATATCAGTGTCATAAAACAAAATTTGACATTTAGTACAGAAATATTAGCCTGTCCTAGGGCTTCCTGTAGCTTTTTCTAAATGAACACTTTACCAATAATCTCTGGAGGCTAGTTTTACTATATCGCTTGAAGCGGTCAACATTTATGTAATATTTAATATATGCATGTATAAGATTCCTTGCAAATTTGCTTTACACTCTGGAAAAAAACATTTGCTGCTTTATTTTTTCAATTAACAAACAAATTATGTATAGCACCGGAACAGCAATCTGAAAGTCGCAGGTTCAAACTCCGCTCCTTTAAAATTATCTTCTTTTATTTTCTTAGATTCCAATTCAGGAGCCGCGAGACCCAGTTTACTCAGTTGATGAGTTGTACGGCATTGTGCAAAGCGACTTCAGCAAAGTGTATGACATCAGAGAGGTCATCGCAAGGGTCGTTGACGGCAGTGTGTTTGATGAGTTCAAGACGCTGTACGGAGACACGTTGATAACAGGTCAGTGACATCGAAGAAGTGTGAAATGTAAGGTTGACCTCTGTGTGACATCTGATAGGTCATCATGAGGGTTGTGGACGATCTGTGTGTTTGATGAGTTCAAGACGCTGTATTGTGACACGTTGATAACCTTTCAGTGTCGTTGGATGTATGACTTGGTCAGATTTAAGCTACCTTTTCAGAAGCACATTTTCAGTTCGTGTTTTTGTTGCAGTGCCTTCTATAACCGAACAAAACTTGAAGTCTAGTGGCTTTTTGCACAACTGAAGATTATGTTATGCCAAATTCTCCATTCGAATATTAATTTGACCACGTACAATAATCATCCGTATAATTCAGATTGGTCTTCAAACTATGCATACACACATCGAGATTTGATGATTTTCCCGCCAGGCAAATGATTAGTTATTTGCAAAACTTGAAGAAAAAAATCAGAGACTGATTTGTGTATGCCATCATATTAAACCATTAATGTTTTTTTCTTCACGTTTTTGTGTAGGATTTGCTCATATCCATGGTTACCCAGTAGGTATCCTTGGTAACAACGGGGTGCTGTATTCATCGTGTGCTTTAAAGGTGAGCAAAATCTGCATGGTTTTGTAAGAAATTCAAGTTAAAAATGTGGGACAAACTTCTCAACAGTGCAGTTATGTGGACTGTCTTTAAAAAAAAATGGTATCTACTCGGGAATTGTGTTGTTACTATTGAGGGTGTAGTTATGCATTGAGTCCATGATGTTGTCTGTTCTGAAACTCGGAGGCATTAAGAAGTAACATACACTTTTGTGAATTTTGTGAATTTAAAGTTGAATGGGATCTCGTGAATTATTATAGGTTTTGGCAAATAATACTTCTGCTTGTTGTTTGACAGGCTGCTCACTTCATTCAACTATGCTGCAAACGGAAAATTCCCCTAATATTTCTACAGAACATCACAGGTAAGTTTGCTCTTTATTTCAGCTGTATACATCAATGTCTTACACCATGAAACACTTCATAAGTTCTCATTGACAATTAGTTTGTCCCTTGGTGAGGTTTATCAAATTTGCAATTTGTTTTTCCAGCTTTGGCTAATTCGTCAACATTAATTAAAAGCCATTGAATTAAAAGTCATTTAATTTTGCAAAGGTGGTATGCACACCACAAATGCTGGTTCAGACAATGAGTTGCCAATGTGTCTGCATGTAACACATGGTTCCAACTCAGTGAAAGCTTCTAAGCTTGTTTCCCGGATTAGTCCTTACTTTTGATCAATACATGTGTATATACATGTATGCAAGAATCGCACATTTTCTTGTCAATTTCCTATGACTCCCCTCCCCTTCCCACAATGCCCTAGGTTTCATGGTTGGCCGAGACGCGGAGGCGGGTGGTATAGCCAAGAATGGAGCCAAGATGGTGAATGCCGTAGCATGCGCCAACGTTCCCAAGATCACGGTCATCGTAGGTGGGTCATTCGGTGCCGGTAACTATGGAATGTGTGGACGGGCCTATGGGTAAGAAACAGATTTGTCATGTCAATTTTTAAGCTAAATATTTTAGTGGCTTGTAAATAAAAAAGAAGCAAATTAGTAGGACAAAGTAAGTCAGGTGAAATGAACAAAAAGGAAAAATTTGAAAAGGAAAAAGTTGCAGCAGTATTGTGAGCTTATTATGAGGAATTGACTGGAAATTTTTTTGGGGGGGACCATTGGCATTTCTCATCATTGTTGGCAAGTATAAAATGCACAGAGTTGTAAGTAAATAAATAATTTCTTTATTTTAAAAATAATATTCCCGCCATTCAAAATGAAATGATTAAAAAGTACAACATGGAAGATAGTCTGAAACATGATGTATAATGAAGTGCCGGTATGTTGTGTCATTTTTAATTAAATGTTTTTATTGAAATCCGATAATTGTTTAGGGTCTCATCATAAGACATTAAACTACCATGTGACCATCCAGTTTCCCCTTGATTGGCCACAATTGTAGTAGGCAAGCGTTTGGTTGGTAACCAAGTCGTGCGTTGCTAACAACAGAGCATATTGACAGCAGGACTTATTTTTACGTAAAATAACAGGAAATTCTTTATCAAATGGCATAATGGCCACTACCTGTGCTGTGCACGGTTGTCATAATTGTGCTGACCCAGCACTGGGTGTTGGCTCCACGTTTCTCTCACAGTTTTTGCCATCCAGCACAGCTTTGAAGGCTTGCCTTCTACCTACTGCACAGTGCACTATAGGATCTTTGCCAACTACAAATGGCGATGCTGACTGGATGTAGGCTGGGTCGCGTGAGTCAGTGAGAGAGCCCGTTATTGCAGAACTGTAATCCACTCAATCACAAATCAATTACAACTCTGGTCACTTGGCAAGTAATAGTGGAATAAGAACGACAAAGGAATTCCATGTCATGGTTCAATTGAATGTCGTATAACTTGTCTTTTAATAGAAGATTATGAACCGGTGACGGCTTGAATCTAACTTCTGGTATATTGTACTTTTTTACTTGCCAAGTCCACGATTCCTGTATATGTGGCCCAACGCGCGGATCTCCGTCATGGGAGGCAAGCAGGCAGCTTTGGTACTGGCTCAGGTACAGAAAGCACAGAAACAACGAATGGGACAAGAGGTAAGACACACAAACCTGCCCACTCTGACCCCCGCCCCATTCTCCTCTGATTAACCCTACTAGTGGGAAGTCAGTATCCAGTATACATGTACAAATATTGAGTGGCTCAGCGTGGAATGGGAGGAATATTATCGCAAGGTAAAATCTGGACTTTTCTTCGCCTCGTGAAATGGAAAAGTCAAGATTTTACCGAGCAATAATATTCCTCCCATTTCACAATTTAAAGCCACTCAATATTTGTTTTATATAACTGACACATAGATCCTTGTCATTTGATATATTTGAACTTTTATTTCAATACAAAACTGGAAGAAAATGTATTTTTGTCTTCCAAACCACCCCTTAACGAAAATGTTTGAACCCAACGCTGTAGCACTGGCTCTTTGGAACAATACGCGCTACGCGCAATGCTGAACGCGCACACCAGCATGCATTTGCACACAAATACCCCGTCATGATCCTAACTGTTCAATAGTATTTCCCATTCCCCATGGGCGGATAGTACTTTTTGAGCCGCGGCGTGAATGGGAGCAATAACGAATGTCAGGTGATGTGAGTTCCACCAATCAAATGACAAGGATCTGTATGTCTGTTATATAAAACAATATATAAAACCCTTCCATAGTGCACAGTATGAGGACATTTTCAAATGAAAGGTATTTAAATTTCTGCCAGGTCCTTTTTTTTTGTAATGATAGTTACTGATAACAAAGTTATTGCAAAACCAGCAGAAGTTTATTTTGTTGGCCTCTTTTCTTGCAGTTTAGTCACTTAACTTGAAGGGATCTTCTGTGAGAATAATCCACCCTAAATGCTTTGACTTCATAGAATAACAGCACAGAGTTGACAAAATATCCCCATTAATTGTAAAGCGAGCTTCCACACAATTGCCCTTTAGAATGCACAAAAGTGCCAACCGAAAGCCATGTCAGATCATTTGCCATTAAATGGAAAAACACCTATCGATTTGATGACAACAACCTTGCTCGCAGTGAAGATAGGACTGGTATTAAACACACATTGTGAGATTATTCCCCATGAAATGGTATCGTTTGGAAGAAAACTCAAATTGAAAGTGGTTTTAAAACAGGGTACCCGCGATAGCAATGGAATCCAGTTACGAGATCCAACAATATTGTGCATACATTTTCTGTGTTTTCTCAAAAAGTATCCTCTGAGCTGAAACTTCAACAGGTTTGACATGAGTGCACCCTCTAAAGATTTGAGCAATTTTGTTGCTTCAACAACGAAAAATGCACAAGCAAATTATCCTATGTACATTTAACAGCTATGTCCAAAACAGGAAAAAAAGTGCATGTTTAGTTTGTTGACCTCTATATAGAGTTGAATGACATTTTATCCTCATCTTCACATGCTGTCAGCTCATATTATGAAGTGTCATCAAGCGACCGTGACCAACTCAAATGAGTTCTGAAACCTGACAAGCGTTAAAGTCGCATTCCCTGTGCTATACTCGAGTTTCATCCCGAAAAATTGATTCCTTTTCTAAATTGCTATTTTTCTAACTATACAAAAGTATTTTGAATGAGCCATCAACCGAAAAAAAACGAAATCTGCCCGTGTTGATTTTTAGAATTATTACTTTACAATTTTTGAATGATTCGCTTCCGAACAATAATTCCGTTCACGTGGGTTAGGCTGGTTCCTGCCCCACAATCAGTATCGATAATGTACAGACCAGGAGCCAGTCTGCTTGCAGAGCAGATCTGTTTGTGCCCAAAACAATTTTTTTTTTTCAGAGAGTTGCAGACGTCCTTAAAAGAAAAAGGACTTTTTTGGGGTTGGAATAAAACATACAAGTTGAAAATTTATTAGTAGAAAAAAATTTGAATTTGTTAACATGGTTAAAGGGCACGCAATGTACATATGATCCGATGTATACTGGGCTGTGTTGATGAACATCTGTTGTATGAACACTTCTCGGTTTCACCTGTATAATGTTTTCATCTGGTATAGCTAAAATTGCTGTAATTGTTCGGTGGAAATGTTCACGCTTGGAGTAATTTGCGTATCAGCGAAATGACCTGTGAAAAGATAAAATTTTGTTAAAGAGTAGAATTTGCTCATGAAATGAAATACGGAATTTCAACCGTTTTGTGTGTACGTGCACAAAGAACAACAGATTCTTTGTTGACCTGGATTGTTCATCTTTTGTTGAAAACGGTCCTTAAAAACATTGAAAACATACGTTTATGTGCTTAGTCGATGGGAGTGTGTTATAATACAGGGAAAAAGGGAAACACAATGCCTTGTCCTCGAGAGTTGTGTAAAGTACAACTGTGCCATGTGTTCAAGGTTCAAAATAACTCATTTGTAATTTTAAATTGAGTACTCAGGGCATGCAAAGCCTCAAATTGATGTGCATGTGTTTGAAAGGTTTTGAGGAAAAGTGTCAAATTCGAAACCAGATTTTGACACAAGATGATTTTTATGAACTGATGACTGACAACTTTATTAGTATAAAATCCCTTAATCCCAGTAGCCCTATTTGATGGGGTCATGTGACTATTATGCACACCTCCTCCTCCCCCCGCCCCAGGTTTTATGGCGGAGGTCATGTTTTTCAGATTGGGGATTTTGGTCACTCCCAAACATAGTTCTGTAAACCTTTAGCACAATATTCCTCTGACCTGGTCACATAAAACTGCATTGAATGTAGAGTGCCGTGGCCTCATGGTCTGGAGCATTGTATTCATGGTCTGCGGGTAATTCTGCAGCTTGTGGGTTCAAGTCCAGCCTGGGGTTATGGTGCGTGTGTCCTTGGGCAAGGCACTTTGTCACTCATTGTTTCTCCCCACACAGGAGTAAATGGGTACCTGTGAGGGCAGAGATGGTCACTGTGATTGATTTTAGCTGCTTTGCGCAAAAATGACAGCATCGAGCTGTTTACTCCCCAGGGAGCTGAGATTGTCATTAGAATGTTTCATTGAGCCAATGAGCAGGGTAATAATGATGTAGCGTCTTGAGCACCAATACTGGTGTATACTTGTGCTTTATAAATACACATTATTGGTATAATTGAATGTGAGGCGATGGAATTTCTGTTCTGGATTTCCACAGTTCACTGCCGAGGAGGAAGAAGCCTTGATGAAACCCATCTTGGAGAAATACGAACAAGAAGGAAGTCCTTACTATTCCAGCGCTAGGTCAGTGGTTACACATCAAAATGTATATGGGCAATCCCAGTTGTTATGAAAATAAGCCTAATGTCCGTGACAGAGCCAATTGACCATCATATCCAATTAATGATTCAGAGAAATGATCCAAAACTCCTTGTCTGTAATCTCCTTGACCATTACTAGATGACGGAAGTGTAACATTTGAAAAATACACGTTCAGGTTTATTCACCGAGCTCATAAAATGCTCTGTCACAGACATTGCATAGCACTGGAATTGAGATTTGTTTTGGTATGGTAATTCATTAAGAAGAATTGCACATCCCTGTTGAACAAAGGCACACACCTCAAAGATGGCTGCGGTGCAAATGCTCTGTACATTGCCAAAAGGTATTGGCTAAATAAGATTCAACAACTGTATGCAAAAAAACTACATTTACATGTACATAGAATGGAGACACATGCAAGATTCTAAGGCATACTCAGGAAATCCAGGGTATAAGACTGAATTGCTGGGACTTTGGGACTATCTATGAGACTATCATTTTTCTTTCTTTTTTTTCAATTTCTCTTAGGTTATGGGATGATGGAGTGATAGATCCTGCCGACACGCGCACCATCCTTGCGCTTAGTTTGAGCGCTGCCCTCAACGCTCCTGTACAGAACACTGACTTCGGTGTCTTCCGCATGTGATGACAATTTACAGAGACAGTTATTATAAATAGATATCATGATCATGAAATTCAGAGTATTTTGATGCTCGTTATGTTCAGGATCATTGTGAAGCGAGTCAGCAAATGTTGGCAGATAATCACATGCACTTGTAGGGGGCACAAACAATTTGAGAAATAAGGGAAATCGCCAATTTCTTTTGTCTTAACGACCAATTTCACTGTACATTCACTTTAATCTTTAAGCAAATTTGAATCCCCGGATCCTGATTGGTCAATCCATGGCAACAACAGTGCAATATTGCATATAACAGTCCACATCACACGTGCACACGTAACAGGACGACTGCTGAAAAGTCCGAGTAGAGCATGCGTGTTCCATCTTTACTGTGCATAAGTTTGCTTGAAGATATATTTGTTATCCCACTCGCGCTTGTGGAACGCAGAAAATGTAGCGCGTCTGTGTTCCCTATCTTTGAATGGGTGGTACATATATATATGTGGGACACAGACTCACTACATTATTCCGTATTCCACTCACGCTCGTGAATTATCTAAAAGTGTACCACATCAACGGCTATTTTGAAAAATTGCGGACACAGTGCTTTTGCCATTGGGTAGATCTGGGGAAGAGGGTTGCTGTATGTAGAAAGTTTCCTTTTTCCAGGTTCTAGTTTTTGTTTGTAAAGTTAGAAACTAGAGAATTTGAATTGCCAGACACGCACAATCACCAAGTGTGTCCAGCTTCCGTAGGAACAAGCAACAAAAATATCAGGGAGTAGACCGTGACAACAACATGTGCACCCCTCCCGTGCTACACGATATGCTACAACCGCACTCATCATGTGTATGTGCACTGGTACTTTGTAGGTCTTTTGTCAGAAACTTGGCTGCGCAATAGCAGTTTTGTTTGGGAATAAAAAGGGGCAGGCTTCACGGATCAGCTGTTAGTAATTACACAACTTACACACACACAAAAAGGACCAACATTGACAAGTGGTTGCATGATCACACATGATGGTTAATACTGTTTTAATACCTAAAACATCGGTTTCAGTTGGATTTTTTAAAATTATTGAAAACATTAAAGCACACAAGAAAAAAAAAATGTTTTGAATACAGCAAGAAAACTGACCAATAGAAATGGCATATACATTACAGTAGTCATGTACTCAACACAATCTGAGCCATCTAGGGGTACTTGTACTTTAAAAATGCAGAGGGACATAAAGGATTTGTAGTTAAATTCATATTTTGTCCTTTGTTTTTTCCTTTAATCACTCTGAGAACTTGTTCTTGCAGTTCATCATCAAAATTGTACTTTAACACTTTTCCTGATTACTTTAGAGCAGATCAGTGGTTGTAAAAACTTGAGACTTGTAACGCAACTGTCCCGAACAGATACAAAACTGTATTGGTTTTATGAGCTATTTTTTTGTGTCAATAATATGCCATTTTCGATATTCCTTTTTTTTTTACTGAAGGAAAAGTAATCTCAATTTCAGACCAAGTTGGATGCATATTTTGTTCAATCTAAACTTAATATGACAGTATTTATAACAACTTCTGTCTAGAATTGATTCAAGTCTGAGAATTGCCCATGTCTATCATACAGCTGGTATCCTTGGTGGTTTCTATCAGTGCAAAAGGAGTGCACTCCTGATAACCAGACCACTAAATTAGTCTAGCAAATACGACACATTATTGTGTTATTAATATGTACCTCTATGCTTGGGCATTGTTTTAGCATGGGTTGAAGTAACATACGTCAGACTTGAACCAAGTCTACTTTTCTTTAAATTTAACTAACTAGAAAGTATAGAATTCTAAACTCCTGAGTCCCAAACTGTGGGAAACATTTCTACATGGAAGCTTCAACAGTTTTTCTATATTGCTTGAAGGAAACTTACTGGATGGTTTGTAAAGTACCTGTACAACAATAAATTCCCGATAATGCTCATTTGTGATGAAGTACTTTCATCTCACTACTTTTTGACCAAGAGCCTTTTTCAAGGCGATGCTAAGCACACAAGTTTACTTAGCACAGTCAGTTTTGCCGTCATCTAGCAAGAATGGTCAACCTAAAGAGCATGATGTATATTACTTGCGCTTACTTTTAAGCTGGGCCCAATTTATGGTGCTGCTAAGCACACAAATTGTCTGCTAACTGAGCCTGTCTATTTCATGGAGACCGTAAGCAGTAAGCACAGCAAAAGCACGCTTAACCCCCGGAGGAAAAAATGCTTAAATTAGTGACGTAAAAATATAAATCTGCATGCGCACGTAACCATTAGCACATTCAACCATGAAATAGTGCTTAAGGTTAGCACAATTTCCTGCTATAGTAAGCACAATTTTCTGCTAACTGTTAAGCAGCGCCATGAAATTGGGCCTATATGTCTGCTTAGGACTATCTGTTAAGCAATATGTGACCTGTCAGAACAAATTAAGCTTTAAGCTGCAAATTGTGGGGCAAAGGAAAATCCAAAGGGGTGGTAGAATTTTTTTTCTGGTGAAACTCAATCCATGATTCCTTTTCTACCATTCCCAATTTTTTGTTTGTTATACAAAACATCTTTAAAACCTATTTTCATCCCACTTTATCGGTCGACTGTTCATTCACTGTAATACAATGGCAGGAATTTTAAATGCCATTTTCTCAAAACTTTGTTCTACAACAGTCTTTCTGTTACTGTACTTCGTACCCGAAAGTGATACCATTGGAAAGCTCTTGATTTTCAGATTCCCGAAATATAAATATTTTAAATTCTTCAAAAGTCTGACTTTAAGCTCATTTTTGTGCCGACAGATCACATATTTTCTGCTCAACAGCACCATCAATTTGAAACTTAGGGTATAATTTTTTAACATTTTATGACCCTCCAACTCGGAGAAAAGCCATACAATTTTTGCACAAGGCAAAACTGTGGCAACTTATATTTTTAAATGAAATTTAAAAAGGGCTGCAAATTATTCTCACAAAATTGGAAAGGTTCATTTTCGTTTGACAGCCACAATTATTTCTCACCTAAAAGATTGTGCTTGGGCACAGCAACAGTCCGACACTGACCAACATTTATGAGGTATTCAAACCTGGCTTTTGGGGGAATGTTCTTTGAAAACCGTCGCACCGGCAAACCAATACTATTTCTTTGCAGGAGACTTTCTCCCATACCACAGGGATGCATCTTCCATACCACAGGGATGCATCTTCCATACAAGGGGGGGGGGGGAATCTGACCATAAAAACTGTATTCTCTTCCCATGGTGGCAAAGCTTTAGCAATTAATAAAACAGCCACGATGACCAACTGCAATGCAATAATGCCTTCCTAAAATGCTAATTACAATAAATGTCTTTGGAAAAAGAAAAAATAAGCACTCAAATTAACTCGCTCTTTAACTCCTGTTCCCAGTATCGAACATTTCAAGGTGTGAGTCTACACGCACTTTCTCACCCTCCTTCATTAATAAAAATGACAATGTTGGATTCAAGAAACGACTACAAATTGTCTTTTTTATACACGGCGTAGAAAAAACATCTAGCAAAAGTGCTAGAAAATGTACAATTCCTTCTTTCACTTTTTTCTTCATTGAAAACCTGAGAATAACTAGGAAGCAGAATGTATTGATGCTCAGTAGAAAGTAGATGTCGCACCCAACTTGGAAAACATGCTCAACATCGATTTATTTTTTTCTATTTTTGTACTGCTTTTTTATTAAAGCATTTCCGTTCTAGTGATTTGCTTCTTTTTTTTAAGGTTTATAAAAGATCATGTGTATTTTATCCCAAAAGTAAACTACCACATAATTATCAACAAGCTTGCTTGGATTAAAGATCTGCTGATATTAAACACCCCGTGAAATTATTCCGTCTTGCTTGCTGTCATTTAGGAGAAATCAAGAAATTTACGTGATTTCCAATCAACAGTTAATTGACTTATTTTTTGAAAATATAGTGCTATGGATGAAATCGTGTTTCGAGATCAAAAGGTTGTGCATGGTTTTTCACTGTTTTTTCCAAAAGTGTATCCACCGAGCTGAAATTTCTACAGGTTATGACGATTCTTCTTTGGATTTTGAGTGGTGTAGGAGATCGTCATCTCATCATTTAGGTGCTCCATCAGATTGAGGCTGTAACATGGACAGAGAGCATGGCACATTCATGTACTTTCCACTGAGCATCAGGTATTCTGCACTGCTTGAATAAAAAGGCCACCACCCTAAAGCCCGAATCCACAAGTAAAATGCACCATATCAAAAGACCATCGCAAGCACAGACGGCGCAACGTCAAAATAATCTTCAGCTTCTCAACGGGAACGAATGCTAAGTTAACAAATTTAAAAACAGCAGGTGTGCACAGGCAAAAGATTTGTAGGAATGGGTAATTTTGGTCGGGGGTCATTCAACATTGCAAGAAGTTGCCCCAAAAATTAAAAAAAATCGTAGTTGTGCATACATGCTGTTTTTTTTTTTTCTGCCAAGCTTGTTCCATAACGATCTATAAAGCCTCGTCACCCAAAAACTTTAGCCACATATGACCTCTGACACTCATTACCCCTCCTGGTAAACCCACCATCTTTACAATCAAGGCATTTCCACATTCTATGATGCATGCAAGTGTGACACCGCAAGAGGGCCGACCATCTGCAAAACATGAAAGCTGAACAACTAGGCACAGTTCTACATAGGGGCAGTTGCTGGAGTTTTGTGAAGGGATTTTTGTTCACATTGTACAGCATTCCTGTAGTGTTACCCAACGGAATGCAGTCCTAAAGCGCTTGTTTTGTTGAGAATTATTTTCTGAAAAATCTGGATAAATGATTGAAGGATTTGTAGTGGCATCATGTAAATCTTGTTTGTGAGTTGTGTGTGATTATGAGAAGAATTGGTTTAACTGGATATTTCGAACACTGCTCTTCAGGAGAACACTGTGAAACAACCAGAGCAGGTACTGGGGGTACACCGTTGGAATGTCCAAGTTGACATTTGCATTCCCTGTGCTAATTTGGAGTTTCATCCCGAAAAATAGAATTTGTTTTCGAAATTGCTATATTTCTAGTAATGCAAAAGTTCTTTACTTTTGAACGAAAAAAATCAACCGAAAAATAATCGGCCAGTGTTTAGTTATTAAATTGTTACTCTACAAATTTCCAATTACTGGCTGTCAGATAATAATTCCATTTTCGCGGGGGAGGCAGGTTCCCGCCCTACGATCAGTATCGATAATGAACGGACCGGGAACCAGTCTGTTTGTGCCCCACCCCCCAAAAAGGTGTTTGGCAGGGTTGCAGACATCCAAACAAGAAAAAAAGGGAACTTTTGGTTGGAATAAAACATACAAGTTGAAAGAGCATAGGGAAAGCCACAATTGGTTCCCAAAACCACACAACTCACAAAAGAGATACATACATGTAAGTTGTGCTACCACAGAATTCTTCACCGATGGATTATCCACACATCTCTAGTCTGATTTAAATATTTTGCTCATTTCTGAAAATGCTTCGAATATATTAGCCTCGCAACTTCTCTCTCCCCCTCCAAAAAAGCTCCAAAACATTTCATGTAAAACTGTGCCTGCACCCAATTAAATTCAACTGTACAAGCAAATGAAGAAAATGGTATAAAAATGACATAACTGTGCAATTTTGTACATGTATCTAAACGAGTTTCCTAAAAAGTCAAAGGCATTTTCTACCTGTACATGTTGTTGATGTACACGTACACATTACAACACCTCCCAATCTAATGAACAATCAATCCCATATTTATGAAAATATATAATTATAATTTGTTTTTATTTTAAATATTCATGTACATAATGATTGTTCAAACGTTTATTTCATTTGTCACATTTCATTGTCAGTTTTGACATTTGTTTTTTTCATTAACACGTAACTAAGACAACATCATACCAATATGGAAAACCTATTAAACCAGGGATCAATTCATTTAATTTGTTTGAACAAACACGAATGCACTATCTGTAAATTTCAAGACACGCAAAGTTACCGGAAAGTTCTTACACTTTCAGAAGATTAAAAACAAAACAAAACCATTTTTCCAAGTATCACAAAACACACATGAAACTGGCATCCAATTCCACTTCATATCTAAAATACAGAGAATTCTAAAAAATCTGTAACAAACTGTGCCAGAAAAAACATTTCAAAAATGCATTTAATTTATTCACACAACGGTAAAAGCTACATGAAACTACACTTTTTAAAATGCCAAAAAGTAGCTTGTTTTTCTAGTATTTACATTTTTAGTATTTACTCAAAAATCTTCACAAAATATGTTCAAATCTATTCACATTGACTCAATACAAATTGAACAAAGTCAGTTCTACAACTGACAAATAACGGCATAGAAAGGTTGCACATACACTACACTCTGTGCGTAGGTTAACAAAAAACGGAAAAACGTTATCTACACAAAATGTACGTCAAAAATCTGAATACTCAATGTACACATTCTTAAAACTCATTTTGTGACCAATGCTTATCTCTGAATTATGGTCACGTCTTGCCAAAACAAAGCTGGCCAAAGTAAACCCAAAAACAAACTCCACACAAGCTCACAGTGTTCACCCACTCACCACTGAAAGCAATGTTCCTGTGATGATTTATGTGTAGATGAACAGATGAGTTGGAAATCAGTTGGCCGGCTCCATTATGCACGAACAAAAAATAACGAAAAGATTTTACATCCGACTGCAGACAGGAGGCTAAACACACTCCCTTTCCAGTAACAGTTGATTTTCAAATCTTCAAAAGTTTATGAAACTATTCCTCTGGTATGAAGCAAGCTGAAGAAACTGAACTGCTTCATAAAGGCAACAATATTTTGAGCTTGGGAACTGGTAAATCTCTCTCTTGGTCTAGTCCCCTGACTGGGTTCTGGATTACATACTGCATTCCAGTGAGGCTAGATTGCCACTACTACCCATCTGGGGCCAGCTTGGAAGGGTGAAATCATGAAAGACTGGATTGGAGCCCATGTCATCCATGGCAGCTATCTCTTCATTCAAAGTCGACGTGGTGCTATTGGAATTATCCCCTAATCCCTGGGCAAGATCTAGCTCATTCTCAGTGTCTCTTTCCGAGCTGCAAGACGTCATCGGGAAATCCACAGCCAATTCGGTGGAGCACTCTGGCTGCATGTTGCTGACCCATGACCCTTGACCCTGGGTGGGTTGCTGCAAGTCAGCATTCAGGAGATCATTAAAAGCTGTGTCACTCCCTTCAAGGAAATGCTCTTCGGGATTGAAGTCTTCGTCTGTGACTTGGATCTCCTGCAACTCCTGGGTAAGGTTGCGCTTAGCTCCAAAACTCCGGTTATTGACGGTTACCCCTCGCTGCTCAACAGATGCGGGGAAGTTGGATATGAACCTGTCCTGACTGAGTACGACTGGCTGGTAGGCTGGCAGAGGAACACTATGACTTCGCTGATAATGCTGTGAGGTGTTCAACTCCAAATTGGGATTGTAGCTACGGATGTTAAGATCTGTTATCTCTTCGGGTAAAAAGGTAGCTGCATCTAACGAAAGCTGTTTGGTCGGCTGCATCAAGGTTGCAGGCCCGGATGGATTCCTCTTCCTGTTACTGATGACCTGTGTCCCCCATGGTGTTTGACTTTGGCTAGACAGGTCACGCTTTGTAGATGCCCTGTTGCTCATAGACTGACTAGGGTCAGATAGGACTGTCACAGGTGATGGGGGTGGCATACTTGCAGCATCTGCTTGGCTGATTGCTGAAACCAAGGATGGTGATAGTGGCGTCGAGCAACGACTACCGCTGGGAGAGGGGGTGGGTGTGATCTGACGGCTGACAGCAGGAGGAAGACAATTTATTGTGCCGTTGGTGTTTGGTCGCCTTGTTGAACCCGAAGTTCGTCGTTTGCGATTGGGGGCAACAAAGCTTACCTGTGAAGTGCCAAACTTTGGCTTGGGCTTCTGCATTGGCTTCACCGGGCTGGGGCTGGTTACACTTACACCAACTTGCTCTGTGCTCTGCTGGATCGGTGTGAATGTGAAATACACCTGGTTGGGGTCGTTGGGGCTTTGGGGAACACTCTCTATCCCCAGCGGTATAGGTGTTGCTGTGTTAGAATGTGGGTTTAAACTAGATGTAGTACTCTGTCTTCCTTGGCATTCCATGCCTGCTGGCTGTTGGATGCCAATCACTGCTGTACCCTGGGCAATACCATTCACAAAGCTGATAGGCTGCGTGACTGGTATCCCTTGCTGAACCAACTGACTTCCAAGGTTTTCCATTTCCTGCTTGATCAGGATACTGGTGTTGACATCTTCCATGGCATTACAGCCTACCTCATTGATCTGTGGGAGTAATGTTCGATGTTGGAGGGAGACTGCAGATGAAGACTGGTCGACGTGGACAGGTGATAAAGCCAGCCTCTTGTTACCTAACTCCATAGCAATGGGCAGCTGAATCCGATGTGCCGCTAGATCAAGAGGTTGATTAGCAGTGTTTATTGGGAGGCTGTACACAGGAATGCTCTGATACGAGGATGAAATCTGTTGATGGCCTTCCTTGACCTGTTGGTTTGCCGGGTGCAGGTTACTCACATGACTTGTTTCAAGACTTGGTGCTGTTAATATTGATATCAGACCGCTGTTAGAAGCTGGTGGTAGGTCTTTTTGAGCCCTGGTCAACTGAACTGGCACAGCTGGCACGTTTTTCAGGCTTGCAGAGGACATCATGTTGGACTTCAAATGTGCATCTTGTGAAGCTTTGTATGCTGTAGAAACTAAACCACCCATATTTTGTTGAGCCAATTGTGATATTGATGAAGTTCCTGTCATAGAAATGATTGCAGGCTGGAGGTTATGATTACTTCCTCCAATCTGGGGGTTGGCTCTGGCTACCTTGCTAGCTCCTCTGCTTTCCTCAAGACCTTGCTCCTTATTGGCAGTGTTGGACAAGATCGCCAGAAGTGCAGATGCTGAATTGGCAGGTATCTGCTTGTGGTCACTTGCAGCAAGACCACACGTTAGCCCACCCTGTGAGGATAACACATTCAAATCATGATTCCCTGCCATGGACATACCATCCCGAGCTGTCATTGTCTGCTTCTGAAATGGAAAGGTCGAAAAGGTGACTGCTGTTGATGGGTGATGAGAAACAGAAGCTGTTGGAATGCCTACGGCAACTGGATTCACCTCATTTAATTTATTAACTGCAACTTGATTCATAGCAGATGATGGGTGATTATCTGCTTGTGGTGAAGTCTTCTGAGGCTCCACATGTGCAGACCGAAGGAGTACTGTTGAGGTGTTTGCAGTGTATGAGCAAGCTGGGGTCGAATTTGGCTGGACAGGGGGCGAGGTGAGGACATCCTGTTTGCTTGAAAGAAGTGATGTAGAAGTCAAAGAGGGGATAATACCTGAATGAGTGGCACTACAGCCTCCCTGAGGTGACGCACCTCCTGCGTCTGACTGTAACTGCAGCATGTGAGTGTTGCTATGGGATGGCAATGTCGTCGTAGGGTCTTTCTGTCCGACTGACACCTTGTTACCTTGTAGAGAGCCATTCACAAAGTTAGCGGCAAGGCCTGCTTGAGGGGACTGTTTGACAACAAGTACACCCCCTGCGACAGGAGAACCTTTCAAGACCTGTCCAGGAGATACTGGCACAGCAATGACATTCTGAGCTCTAGACGTTCCTGGTGATGAAACGGATGACTTGGCTGTCCCAGAGGCAACCAGCTTGGGGTTAGGAATGTTCTGTATGGGAATGGTAGCCATCTGAGGCATGGAGCCATTAGAGAGACTTGATATTTGAATGAACTGGACTCCAGGGGGAAGCTTTTGCCCTTTTGAATTCAGAATTGTTCCGTTCGGCTGAAAAAACACCATCGGCCCATTGGGTAAGTTGTTGACATTCAGGGGCATTTTTACTGCACCATCCCTCACGGGAGTCTTGGGTTGTATGGGTGTGAAACGACGTTTGTTGTTTGGACTTTCCTTGACTGTTGTAACGGTGGTGGTTACCGAGCTTGAAACAGGTAGCTGGTTACTGTTGTTATTGCTGTTGTTGTTTGTCTGTAACCCTGATTGGTGAGCTAGGCTAGCATTATGATCAACCTGCTGGTTACCAAACTGGCTACCATTGGGGGCCTTGTCCAGTTCTTTATTCTCCCCCCTGTGTGAATCAGTTCTTGCATTCATTTGCATCTCATCAGGCATACTGTGGCTCCTGTTCAGTACTTTTCGGTCGTCTCGCTGTTTGGCACCCTTGATGGGGTCTCCAGGCTTCAGTGCCGGAAGTCGCTCGTTGGCCTGTCGCAACTGTTCTTCCTTCATCTTGTGAAGTTGCCGCTGCTGTATCTTCTTCTGCAGTTGATGCTGTGTCTCCTTCCGCCGCTCTTCCGGTGTAATAGGCAGTTTCGCCACTGCAAAATCCGACCGCAGCGACCTCGACGATGACGACAAGGAATCCTTGCCACTGGAGAGTACTGTGAAGGAAGCCATGGAACTAGAGACTAACTTATTGCTGGCAAGGTGGTGGGCAATCTCATCTGTGGTTTGGAAGTGGGTGGCAAAGATCTTCTCGGCCCATTCACAGATGACAATGGTGTTGGCCAGGTCGGCCTGCTGTTGTTCTTGGCTGCACTTGCAAGAGGAAGAGCTGTGAGGTATGTCATTCTGCAAGGAAAATGAAACGCATTTGGAATTTAAACCATCAACCAGAAAAATATGTTCAGCATTTGTTGCAGATAAGACAAACTGTTTTGCGGCAATACAGCAGTAAACTTGCAAGTCTCCTTTACACTAAAACTGGACAACTTCAGTCCTCCCATTTACCAATGTTGTGCACAGTTCAAACTTTGTTTAAAAAACTACAACTATATTTTCAGTATGGATGGATAAAGGAATGACATTAAAATTCAGTCAAATTTGTTGTAAACCCAGGAAGAACTATGAAATTAATGCGTGTTTTTGTTTTTTTCAATTGTCTGTTTTCAAATGCTATAAATGAATGTATGTCTTTCCAGCATGTACCCATACATGTGTTTTGTTTGCTTAAAGGGAAAGTACAACATTTGCAAACATCGAAACATAAAACGACCAAGTTTTTTACGAAATACCTTACAGGAAGTTGGTAAATGACAGTCTAAAGCATCCTGTAAAATTATGGCACCTGGTGTGAAGTCATTATCAAGAAAATTGTATTTTTGTATACATTTCCAACGGTGGTCGGCCGACCACCATAGGAAAAACCTATGGTGGTCGGCCGACCACCATAGGAAAAACCTAACCAGTTTTTACTACTGCTCCAAATTTACCATTTTCTTCAGTCCAAATTTTGTTTGCTATTGGTTTCATGTTCATGTACAATTTTCCAGCATCTGTAAATTGATCCATTTCATCCTCAGTGGAGTCAGGGAACCAGACTACTTGAACAATTTTGTTTTTCCTTGTTTTTTTCAGCATTTTCGAAAACAAAATTTCAAACATGTCAGTGTAACAATAACTTGCCCCTCAAATAGTTCATTTCTGAAAATTAAAACAAAAGCCAATGATGTACATTCCCTTTAATACTTACTGGTCCAATTTTGCGTGGTGATTCCATGCTTGGCAGTAATGGTGGCTGGATCTCACTTTTTTTGCGTAGGCCGCTGTAGCAATATGTGTGAAAAGTCAAGGGTAATTAATGACTTGTTTGGCTTGTATAAAGTTCACAGACAAAATAATGTAAACAAGGAACTCTATTCACATGAGTTGGGGAGGGGGGAAATGTTTTTAGGAGGGAAAAGTCATTAAGGAAAAAGAAGGAAAAATAGATGTCTACAAAGCCCTTCATCAGTTTCTCTGAAATTTCCTTTCGGGAAAAGTCCAGGACTTAGCACATTGTGATTTAAAAATGCTGAAGTCAAGTGATCAAAAGTTCTCCTAAGTCAATTATTAAGGGTAAGATTGAGGGAAAATGAAAAATCCACGAAAGAATTGGCAGAGGATTTGAGGGTTGCTGAGCGTTAGTATTTGCCTGAAGGCAACCCTTAAATTAGCCATTCATTTTGTTCTGCATAAACATAGTGAAAAAAAATGCTGATATATCTCACCCTTTATGATTATAAATCATTCAGAACTTTTCAAGTCAAGTCTCGTCTAAAATCACACTCCTTAGTCATAGTTTATCCCGTTACTTGTGGTTGATTAGTGATTCGTCTTCTGAATTATCCTGTGATAAACTTGTGATGATGGATTGGACTATAACACTGCAGAAACCTTTTAACTAATGTAGATGTACCATTAATGCTGTTGAAAAGTGGATTATCGACAATGGATTAAATAGGACAGAGCACAGCTGTGTAAGCAATATAAAGGATATTTGGCATTTCCGCGTGTGCCAAGACGTCGCTGTTTGACCTGGGGAAAGACACTCTTCATGATCTTGCCAAAGTCTGCGGGGCTCAAGACCCGACGAGTGGCCGAATCACAGTGCAAGCTGCAACAAGAATAAAAACCACAAAAACAAGGAAGTATTAAACTGCGAGTAGGTTGGGAGTAGGACAATGCCAGTGCTATAATAATAATAATAATAAAAAAATTCTTATATAGCGCATATCACCGCTATGAAAGGAATGGCAATGTCCACGACAAAGCCAATTAACCATGATATCTAATTACCGATTCAGAGAAATGACCCAAAACTTCTAGTCTGTAACCTCCTTGACCATTACTAGATGATGGATGTACCATGTACATGTATGAGATTCCAAAAAAATATATATATTTTCAGGTTTACTCACTAAGCTTTTAATTTATGGGCATGACATAACACTAGAGTTGCCCATCCAGTCACATCAAAACACTTGACAAGAAGTGGATAGTATCCAACCAATGATTCTCTACCTCGTGGTTTTTGTATGCTGTTATGTCTTGTCACAAAGTGTTTTACCAAATCAAAACTGTAAAAGAAAACTGCACGACAGCCATGCTGTCAGTGTCAGTGTCTGTTCATTTTGCACATATCCCAAAAGTAATCTACCGAATTATTATCAAAACTTTACTTGGATTAAAGATCGTACTTGGTACTTAACACCCTGTGAAATTATTCCGTCTGGCTTGCTGTCATTTACAAGAAATCAAGAAATCTAGGTGATTTCCAAAGATCAGTCAACGGACTACTTTTGGAATAAAGATTGCTACGGACGAAATCATGTTTGGGATCAAAAGGTTAAGCATGGTTCGTCCCAGTTTTCTTGAAAAGTGTAATATCCACTGAGCTGAAAGTTCAACAGGTTAGGTTTTGAACATTCTTCTTTGGATTTGGAGTGGTTTTATTATTGGAAATGAACAAAATACATGAAAAGCAAATGATCCTATATGCATTTAACTCTTTGGGTTCAGAAACCTGCTGTATATTGAGGAGATAATCCGATATATCAGCTCAAGATTAATGGCACTTTGGTTTAATAACATCTGATTATTAAAGGCAACTAGGTCTACAGTGAGCAATTATTATTGGCTCAAACAGGTGCCTGCTGAAGATGAGCCATCATAACATATTGTTTTGATTCCATCTAATTAACCCTCCTAGTGGAAAGTCAACATTCAGAGCAATATGTCAAACACTTTAAAAACCCTGCAGGTCAGTTTCAGGTGAAGGGATATGAAGTGTTAAAGTAACTGTGGCACACAGAGAGTCACTGCACACACGAAAAAAAGGCCTGTGGACAGCAGTGAAGTGTGACCGAATCTGCCTGCTTGCCCTGAGTTTAACCACACAAAAGAATTGTGCAGGGATTTGACGTATTATCCGCTCTCCACAAAAGGAATTTGAAGTGTGGTCGCTAACTCTATGAGCAAAAGTGAAATTACAAACTTGCGGGTTGTGAATCGCCGAAAACAAAGAGGGTTAAGGCAATTAATTTTGAATACAAAGAGTCGAGAAAGGGCTTACAGTCATCTAGGTGAAGAGACACTATTTTATTCAAAAACGTTGGAAGCCTACAAGTACATAAATGAATGCAAAAAATGTGTACTAAAGAAAATGATGTGTTGCATCAGTTATAACATTTGGATTGCACTTCAATACATTTTGATCAATCACATCATAAACTAATTGAGTCTGACAAGACATACCGATAGTCCTCATATACTTCATGTTTAGGAAGCGACGTATCGCTGCACTCCTCGAGATGACTCCGGATCCAGTTGAAAGCCTGTGTCTGCTCGATGCGGGTGACCGCTAGCGAGGGGGATGAGCTGTGGGAGAGTAGAGGACAGCATTTTGTATGACATTTGAGTTCCAAATTCCTGCAAACCTGCAAACCTGGGTAAAAACTCGTTCAAATCACCTCTATGTAAATTCTTGCCCTTGTCAAGATTTGTATACATGTAAACGTATGTAGATACATGTACACAAGGAGGGAAAATAAATGAAAGCTCTCAACAAATCTAGTTTCAATATCTACATGTAAAACAATTCAACTGTATCATACATGTATACAGATAGAAACAAAATATGCCTGTTACGGAAATCGACATATTGCCCTATGTTAATGGCATAAAGGATCATTTGCTTTTCATGCATCTTGTTTGTTTCCAATAATAACACCACCCAAAATCCAAAGAAGAAAGTTTAAAACTTAAAGCTGTTGAAGTTTCAGCTCAGTGAATAGTACACTTTTCGAGAAAACAGTGACAAATGATCATGCAAATGATCCTTCATGTGCCTTTAAACGCATACATGTACTTAATAACGAGACTCTTGCGAGCAGAAGTCTGACATTGACCGGTCAACGACCTCACCTTTTCAGCCGGTTGGAATCGAACCCGCTGACGCCCGTCGGCAGCTTCAGGTACAACAGCAGCTTCTCAAGGTCATTGAATTTATTGACTTCGGCCTGGAGGATAGGATGATCATATTAATGTACATTATACCTCATTAAATGCACACTACCTGTATAAGTGCAGTTGAGCAGAAATGGACTCGATTAGTGTAATGGCTCTTTTGAAATGCATCGTAAGGAAACTGGATAATTAACATTCTGTACTGTCAGAAACAAAATGAATTCTTCACAAAATTGTATCCACCAATGAAATGTTTTCACAAATGCACAAATCGCGTTGTTGTTTAAATTTTTTCAGCTGAAATCAACTGCGCAAACTGTAGCTCAAATGGATTTGTTTACACTTATTTCATGATTAAAATGGCATAGGATTTGGATCGTAACAAGTCATGAACCTAGCATTTATGTTGTTGCTGCTGTTGTAAATTCTACCATGCCTTTGGCTAAACAAGATATTTACGTGCGGTTTAGTTAAGTCATTTGCACTCAACAACACACAAGGAAATACCAGGGCTAACCACTATCTGAAAATCAATTGTAGGCCTAATAGGTTGAACCTGAACTTCCTACAAGGAAGAATGCTACAAACATTTTGCAAGAAAACATTTCAAACAAGTTGAACAAATTTTGTGATCCTACCATACATGTACATGGATGGAGTTACAGAGTCTTTAGTTTAGCACGTTAAAAAAAAAACACACACACAAATTTGGGGAGCTGGCTTTTTTTTTCTATTAATAAATGTTCAACTTGTACATTTTATAGCCAAAAAACTCAATTGTTGGATGGGAACCGAACCCAACCCTACCCCGTGAGAACGGAATCATTGTCTGGCAGCCAATAATTCAAAATTGTAAAGTAATAATTCAATAACTAAATGTGGGCCGATTACCTCGGTCGATGTCTCATTCGACAGTGAATAACTTTTGTATCAATTGCTAGAAAAATAGCAATTTAGAAACAAAATCTATGTTTTCAGAATCAAACTTGAAAATAGCATGGGGAACGTTACTGTGATATGCTTAGCCTTATTTTCCATGTAGGAACTACACGACATTGGCCAACCAAAAACACCTGAACACCTTGATAAGTCTGATTCCCAGACCAAATGATTGTGACAGTCCATAAGATCAGGCTGCCGACATTACCAACTGACACGACTGATTTTATTAATGGGGAGTAATTTCTTACGATTAAAACAATTTCCAACATTCAAAACTTTCCACAATCTAATTATTAGGATATGATGTTTTCCACTTTTTAGTGTAATTGAGTTGTACCGGTATATGTAGGAAAAAAAGACTTTTGGAATTTCTTTCCTTTTTCAATTTTCAATCAATTGAAGCTCGAATCTAGAGAAAAAAAAATTATGTTTACTCGATGTGCATGTACATGCACATGTGCAACCAAATGAACCAAAAAATCACAATGTGCATCTAAATTTATGTGTAGCTTTCCTTGACACTGTGTGTCATGTTCTATTTTTAACCATGGCAAGCTACCTGACCTACCATTTATAATGAGTCGTCAGGGCAGTGGCAGGTCAGGGAATCAGACAGAGACTAAGGCAGTTAAATGGCCACAGGACAATGCTGACTATTTTCTGATTATAACCTTTTCCAATTAAGTAAACAAAGTACATGTACATGTACACTATGGGGGAAAACACCGACAAGTGAAATCAAGCATGTACTTGGATTCATTATACTTCTTTACCCAAAACAGGACATTATTAGTATACTTACTACCATCGCGTCTATCCTTCGCTTCACATTGGGGCTGAAAAAAAAAATAAGGTAAAAGTAAACAATTTCAATTTTATGTACATTTTATGTAAATACCGATATATTGTCATTTTCACACAAAAATGTGGTGCCTGATAAATTTAAAAAGACAACATTAATCTACCGGTTAGACAACAGAATACATGCACATGTACAACAAGAAAGTGTACTCCTCTGATATGTTTCAGTGATCAACACAACAAAAATATACATAGTACAATGTACATGTACATGTTCAATACAAATAAATGCACATAATGGTGTGCATTTCTAGGTAGAACGGGAACTGGGTATCCTATTGAAATATAAACACGGGTACCCGTAAAAGAAACCAACCCCAACATTCAAATCCCGGAAGTTGTCTGAAGGGCATTACAGCTTTACGTCGTCAAGCGCAACTTTCGCGAGCATCACCTGTTGCACTTTCAAATGCACACATAAATGTAAAATCTGTTATGGTTTTCAGTGTAGCCAGGTTTTCATTTTGAAAATTCCCACACAAATGGCCTTCAAACCCTTTCTGTTTTCATTGTCTGAGAAGTTACTAAGTAATTTGTATAGTTGGTTACAGGCACCTGATCCCATAAGTCGGAACTGGTTCCTGACATCAGCAGTTGGGTCCGCGGGTCCGCGGTTCCGAAGCACACTCCTAATTGTACCGTAAATGTACATGTACATGTACATGTACAGTGTACATGACATTGTATACATATGTACCGGTACATGTATTCTTTCTCTTTGTACTACAATGTACATGTAGCACATATGTAGTACATGTAAACTTGTACAATGTAAGAATACTCCATCTTGTATTCCATAACCTTGGCCTTTCTAGAGTAAGGACAACAGTATAACACTGCACAGCTGTCCTTGACTACAAAGTACATTTTTGTACATTGTACTCCATTCTGAACATTAATTTCTTGGCCAACACTGTTTACTATTCATTGCTGTGGAAAAAGAAAAGCCAAAATGTCCCTGAAAGGTCAGGCCTGAAAATATATAATATTTTTACACACATGCATACCGGTAGTAACCCAGTATACAAACATGTAGACACTGAAATGCAGAAATTTGTATGAGTATGCATGAAAACTTACAAATGTATACACCTATACATGTTCAACTGTGTCAAAGTACATACTTTAATGAGTCTTGGCCAAACCACAGAATACAATGCAAATATATTAGTCACTTCACTTTGCTTGGTCAACAAATTCTAGTACCAGTATCGCTTCTATTCAACAAAAATATTAAAAGGTTAACACTATTAGGATAATGGATAAAACCACAAAAAATTGATAACAGCTTCCAAAAGCCACAGCTCCAGTAACAACACATCAATTTCTGTTGACAAGTCCGGTTCATCAAAACGATAAAAATTACATGTAAGATACATGTTCACTGTACAAAATCATTTTTATGAGTTACATGCATGTACATGTAAAGCAATTCCATAATTGTCTGACAGAAAATAAGCGAACTACATGTACCTGTACATACATTGCAAAGTTACTTGTACATGTACGTTCTTATGCAATATTGGTACAATTCAACATTCAAATTACATCTGCCAAAGACAACATGTAGGCTATCAGCTTCGGTCCAAAAAATTGGGCCACGAGTATCAAATGATCGAAAGGAGCAATGCTCATAGCGATTTTTGGCAAGGTATGCACGTCTACATGTACATGTAGAGTTGGAAAATGTGTGATAGCTTTGCAGTGTGAGCGGTGGCTGTTTTTTGGGTGTTATCACTTTTAATTTCTTTTTCTTCAAAATGGCCGCCAATATGCTTGTTACTGGATTGATTGTACATGTATGTGATAACAAGCATGTTTTGGCCGCATTTTTTTTAAAGTGATAGCACCCAAAAAGCTGCCACAGCTGCAATGCTATCTCGTATTTTCCAACTACCGATACAGGGGTGCATACCTTGCCAAAAATCCCAATATGCATTATTCACCTCAATTGATACCGACCAAAGCCCCAGGCTGATGGCCTAATGTACATGTAGTTGATCACCGTTTATGTAGAGGAGTGGATACGTAATTAGTGTTAAGGTAGCTTTATAAGAAATTTAGTCACAGCACAGAGGTTGCACTCTCTGTAAATAAAGGGCACATGATGTATCATGTACATTGTACATTGTATGCACTTTCATCATACAGTGAACTCAATGTTGGCACACTTACACTGGAGCGCTGTTTACTAAATTTCTTATGCAAACAGTAAAGCATCTGTACAAATAAATTTCATATTTATTTACAGTGTTTGTTTTAAAAATTTGGGTGTCCCCCCCCCCCCAACCTTTACATCAGTGGCAAGGGATGTGTATAACCAATGTGTACTACATGTGCATGTACTGTATGCTGCATCCAACAATACATGCGTTATCCCGCGAGCGCGAGTGGCACACGGAAAAATGTAGTGCATCTGTGTCCCACATACCACGAGGCCGAAGGCCGAGTGGAGTGGGACACAGACGCACTACATTTTCCGTGTTCCACGAACGCGAGCGTGATAACGAATTTATCTTCAAGCAAACTTGATGCGCAGTACAGTTGGAACGTGCACGCTTTACACGGACATTCAGCAGTTTAGCGTATGCAGCTGGAATGTCGCTCGCATCTTGGAACAGCAGAATACGCGGAGTGCGGTATGGACCGAGGCCGTGCTACATGGTTATATGTAGCACGGCTTGTTGTCATGGATCGACCAATCAGGATCGAGGATTCAAGTTTACTTGAAGATAAATACAAATGTACATGTTCATTGTACATGTACATGTACATGTACCTGCACACTGCACGTACACGTATATGAACGCACATGCACATTGTAAATATATGCACATTAGCATACACGTACAGTACATACAGCGGGAAGTGTCCAACATAAATAAAGTTGGACATTAAATTAAGTTGACCCCGGCCCTTGGGCAAAATTTTGAAACAACCGGTTCATTTGTAAAATCAGATAAAAGGGCATTCAAATTTATTAAAACCTACATGTATGTATACACTACATGTACTTTAAACATGTATACATGAACACGTATGCAAGTTGCGTGCAAGTCCATTCATGACCATTCTTTTGTTAAATTTGAACTGTAAGGCGACGCCAAGACAATTTGAAGTTAAGTACATTGTAAGTAAAGTCATGCATGGACCAAAGTAAAGGCTTTATCTTTCCTGAACTTATATCAACAGAAGTATGTGCACATGTACATGTATGAAGTCCAACACATGTGTACATGTTGATGAAGAACAAGAAACATTATGTGAACTGTGCATTACAGTTTGTCTGTACACGTACATAGTCATAATACATGTAAATTTATTAACTTTTTACTTGCTTTCATTTCCAAGGAAAAATTGCTTAGTGTTTATAGTTCAATCATTCCTCCATGGTTCAATTATGCCAAGTGTACTCCTCAGTACATTATAATTTATACCAGTATATGGTATATAGCCATGGTACACACTCGTACGTGAAATCTACACAATTTGTGGCGTCAGTGCAACAAGGTTGTAACTCAAATTTCTCTCATCTCGAATTATTCTGATTTTAAACTTTTGTGGCACCATGTTGGTTTTTCACTGATTTGAAATATAATTTTCTCTTCATGTTTCGTATCAAGGAAAACTTTACATGGTTTTAAAATAAGAATTATTCCAGATGAGGGAAATCCGAGTTACAACCTTGTTGCACTGATGCGACAAATTATGTACAAAAGTACATGTGTACATATGTACACGTACGTGTATACTGTACGTGTATACCATACGTGTGTACAGTGCTGGTACATGTTCATTACACATGTACAGTGCATGTATCAGTTTGTATGTGCATTACAAAATCCAAAGGATTTCATAATTTTTCTGTTCATGGTAAACGAACAAGTATTCTCTGAAATATCCACTTGCCACTTTGCATAATCTGCCCCAGATTGAAATCCTCACTTACACTAAGCATGTCACTACCTACGTAAACCATGTACCGTATGTACAACGCACACTGCCCTCAGTGCAACGTTCATTTGTAAGTGGTAGTACCATATGTGTAAAGTGAGTACAGCACTTTGAGGATGTTGACACAGATTGTATAATGCCCATTCCAGGAAGACACAGGCTTAACCAATCTAAGACAAAGTACGTGTACATGTATTTGTACATGTACCGTACGTTTGCACACGTGTACATCAACACGTACATGTACATGTATCGCACATCAAGAGTGAGCCAAATTGTGTTGAACTTTCATGTGGATTCATATTCCTAAATACACATACCGGTACATGTACATGTTTTATACATTTTTCTGTTAACATTGATACGTCATTCTTTAACAATGAACAGATGGATGCACATACGTGTACGATACCATGTATCTTCTTTCTTTCTTCCTAATGCAAGAATGATCTTAAATGGACTTGTATACTGCACATGTGGGCAGGATGCTTTTGTTTTTTACTCCGATCACCCTATTCAACTGGTAGTGGTGACATCTGATTTCTTTGGGCTCTCAATGGACCGCTCACATTGTGACCTGCAGTTTAACACTTTGGCATGCCCGTATGGCATTAGACCCAAGACTTGACATCTTACTACATGTACATGTATGCGGAGACATGTACAGGTTGGGGGTACATTTTTAGGGAAGGAAGTGTCTTGAAAGCTTTGATGGAGTAGCCCAGATTTTCATGATGACATCACGCTTAAAGGTGAAACAGGGGTCAAACAAGAACAGTGGGCCTGCAGTGAGCAGCTTTGTGCCAGAGTTAACGAACTAGATTCATTTCAAAAACTTGTAAATAGGACTGGTTCAAAACTTTGGAATAAGAATCATGATTAATTAAACTCTTTTACAGGAATTGACTCTCTTTGAAGTCAGTGTTTAGTGGTTGATTCCTTGCTCTAACACAAGTTCACAGATTTCATATTGGGGGGGGGGGGAGAATTCTGCAGAGCTTTCCAATACATACATGTGTAA